TCTGTGTGTCTGTGTCTGTGTGTCTGTGTGTCTGTGTGTCTGTGTGTCTGTGTGTCTGTCTGTGTCTGTCTGTCTGCCTGTCTGTCTCTGTCTGTCTGTCTGTCTCTGTCTGTCTCTGTCTGTCTCTGTCTGTCTCTGTCTGTCTCTGTCTGTCTCTGTCCGTCTGTCTGTCTCTGTCCGTCTGTTTGTCCCTGTCTGTCTGTCTGTCTCTGTCTGTCTGTCTCTGTCTGTCTGTCTGTCTGTCTGTCTCTGTCGGTCGGTCGGTCGGTCGGTCGGTCGGTCGGTCGGTCGGTCTGTCTGTCTGTCTGTCTGTCTGTCTGTGTGGCTGTGTGTCTGTGTATGCGTGTGTGTGTGTATCAATGTGTATGTCCAATGTACTTATGTAGGTGGCATTGCCTTTCCTAAACATAGCCGAGCTGCTGAAGCTTGTCAAAGTCCGGCGCAAATTCTGTCGGCTGATTTCCTGCTGACCACTCAGCTTCTCTCTCTTCTGCTTCCGCAGCCGCAGCTCGCCATCTCTTGGCTTCCTGCCGCGCATGCAACGCGACTGCGGTTGTAAGAAAACCCATCAGCTCAATGCCGTGCCTCAGCACTTTCGGAGGCCTCTTGCGTGGTTTGCATCTTCTCTTTCAGGAGAAGCTCCATGTCATGTGAGAGCTCTCTCACTGCCTGCAACGTGGCATTTGATCAGTTCCCTTCTCTCGCGCCACAGCTCAGAGCTCAGTCCTCCATGCTTTGGAGCGCTTCCTCAGTTGCCATAAAGGCCCAGAAATTACGAAATTGTGAACCAGGAATGGCCCAAGGGGGAAACAGAAAAGCGAAAAGGTGTGTGAACCGCTGTGAGTTCGAGTGTCTGCTTTGGCCGACTTCAAGGCATTGTTCTGCTCCGGCAAGGCCGCCATGGCGTTGGAGGCCTCGGAGGTCTTGGCCCCGAGCCGGGCCAAGGCCTCGTGGGCCTCGCCGTTCTGCAGCTCGGCCAAGGCCAGGGCTGCGGCGGTGCCCTGCAGCGTCTGGCGCCAGGGCCCGAAACGCCCCGCCAGCGCGGCCATGCGCCGCTCCACCGCCGTGCCGCACGAAGGCGCTTCACTCGTCTCGGTCTCCGACGTCGTGGTCTCCGACGTTGAGGTCTCGGCCAAAGTCGCCAGCCGCAGATGGCGGCGCTGCAGCTGGGCCAGGAAGGCCAGAAGCTCCGCAAGGTCAGCACCGTGAGTTGATAGCGCCGAATCAGCACGCTGGGCCAAGGCAGCAGATATGGACGCCAGATCGTCGCGCGTCACGTCGTCCCAGGTGTTGACTTGGACCTCCGGATCTTGCCAGGCCTTCAATACGATTTCTGCAGCTTGCCCTCGAAATGTGCCGATCTGGGTCAAGTCCAACACTGAGCGCAGCACGCTTGGGTTTTGGGCCGCACGCCTTTCCTCCCTTAAGGTCGCCAAGACCTTGAGGGCAAAGCCACGCCCTGCATCCTTCGGACATGTCAGCAGTTGGCAAAACCAAGCCCACATAGGCTCTTCCGCCAAGACTGTGGGAGGGTCATCACCAAAATCCAGCGAATTATCCCCGTCTGGGCTTGAGAGGTGCATCAATCCAGCTTCGGCTTGTGCTTCTTCTGCGTCGGAAAGGCCGCCATGGGTCAAGAGCTTTGCTAAGATCAAACCTCAGCTTCACACAGCCAGCATCCAATCACCATTGACGCGCAAGCATGATTAAAACAGCATCCAACAGAAAGGACACCGCACAACCGCTGCCCACTAAGGGGCTACACTGAAGGTATGGCACAAGCGCTATCTTTATCGGGTCATCAAACTGTGACTTCTCCTCCAACCCTCTACGTTCATGGCTGCTCAGTGGCCACTCAACAGGCGAACGAAGCTGCTATCACTGCAGTAGTAGGCGTTCAAGAGCGATTTCCTTTGCTGAGTGAGGCTGGAATCCACGAACTGGGATACCACTGCTCCATCAAAACCTGGCAAGGTAGGCGGTGGGCATTGCTAGCATATCTGCGGGCAACAAAACAAATGAAGACAACACATTTCTAAATCTGAATCTGCTTACTCGCTTGCTCCATCTCATTCGGACATGGGTCCAATTCTCGGTACAACAGTGGAGTGGTCACCCGGACATGGGTCCAATTCTCGGTACAACAGTGGAGTGGTCACCCGGACATGGGTCCAATTCTCGGTACAACAGTGGAGTGGTCACCATCTCCGTTTTTGGCGCCTTAGGTTTTGACCCACGACCATTCCAAAGGAATGACCCCACCCGCCCACCCGCGTAGCATGTGCTGGATTTTGTCCATCCACAGAAGAACTACCCAAGAGAAATCAGAGAAATTGCACCAATTGCTCATTTTCTTTGCGCCGCGAAGACATGGATCATGACTAAGTCCCCAGCTAGGTGCCCTTTTACCGTTTCTTTTTTGGGGGGAGGGTTCCCCACCTAAAAATAGACTACAGAAAAAAGTTGGTACCAACTTATTCTAACCTCTCTGCTGGAGGACCTAGAAGTAGACCTCTTCTGAGCAGCTTGGTCAAGCTCGCAGAGCAGACGTCCTTCCTAGAACTGGCCATGGGTCAAAATCCAAATCGTACCCCCAGTCCAACCACTAAAATAGGTCCTAAAATGGGTGGTGAATTCACCTACCCACCAAAATGAAATCAACCACAACCGTTGTGACCACAGCCAAATGACACCAACTGCCCCGTCGGGAAACATTTTACATTTTTGCTTGTTGTGGTTTAGTGGTTGAAATCCAACCACTTAGCTGCTAGACTTTTCAATTTGTTGCTCCCCAAACCCAACGTCAACCAAGTCGAAGACCTGGATCATGCACCCCGCGAAGCCCGGGCAATCTCCGTCCGGCCAGGAGTCCTACGAGCAGAACTTGGTGGCGCCCATCTCCGCCGCCGTGGAGCGCTTTGGAGAGAAGGAGATGCCGGAGAAGAGTCACGACTTTCGGTGCCGTGTTTTTTTGTGGCCGGCTTGGTTGGTTTGTTTCTTTTAGCTTTGTATTTTATGTGCTGTTTGTTGTTTTTTAGGTCCTTCGATATTTTGGTTGTGGTTTATGTTGTTCTTTATTGCGTTGTTTGTTGTTCTCTATTGCTTAAGTTGCTTCCTTAGTGTGTTCCTTCTGTTGTTCTTTATTTCCGTGTTTGCTACTGAATCATTGTTTTGTGCTTTGTTTGTTTGCTTGCCTGTTTTCTTCGTTTCTGCGCTGGTCTGCTTGTTTGCTTGCTTACTTGATTGCTTATTTGTTTGTGTGTGTGTGTGTTCCGGTTAGGTGCGTGAGTTATGCAAGTTGTTTGTGCCTTTTTCGTCGCGTTATACAATTGAGCTGCGCTTAACACCCTTCTGTGAATGTTCAGTAAAGGGCTTGCAGCAACATAGGTGCTCATAAGGTAAATATGCAGGTGCGTAAGCGCGCGTAAGCGTCTTGTTACGAGTATCCTTCTGCCCAACAAATCCGGCGCCGTGGGTCTACTTTCTGCCTCGAAGCAGCAGCTCCGCCAAGGGCTCTGAGCTCGCCTTGCGAAGGCGCATAGTTGGTGGCTCAAAATGGAACGGCTGGGGTTTACGCAGGTTTTCTGTCTTTGTTGCCAAAGCTGCCATTTTGGGTACCAGTTTTTGAGCCACAGCCATTTCATCCAATGATTTTTGAAGCACCCCTATCTGACCCTAACATTCATCATGAAACGTACAGTGCCACCTGAATCGGTCTAACACCTGGCGTTTAGCTACAGTTGAAATCCTACTCATGAATGACAGTCAAAACAGTGCTCAACCTCAGATAGCTGTCTTCTGGTTACTGCTCGGCGAGCACTCGGAAGTGATTGGTCCAAGCACCCGGACCGAGCTCTCGCCAGGCGTGGGCAAATCTGTCAAGCCGACGAAGCCAGCCGGAAGCTGCACCCACAGCTGTGCTGATTGCCGATAAGCAAATTCCAGGTAAGCAGCGCAAGTATCGCAAGTCGGCTGATTCAATGCTAGTTTCTGAGTTGGTTCAGCTAGAGATCCAGGGGGCTCGAGATCCAGGGAGCTCCGGCTAGTGAGTCAGCCAGCTAGTTGGCTGGTCAAGCAAGTTGGCTGGTCAAGCGAGTTGGCTCCGCACTTGCTTAGCAAGTAAGCCACTTAGCAAGTCGGCCAAAACAATTGGCGTGTTGCCTTGCTAGGTGTTAATGCAGTAGGTTGCTACTCAGTTGAGTTGTTGGCAGGTTAGCTGGCGTGCTCGTTGGCTGCTTAAATAACAAGCTTTCTGGTCAGCTGGTGAGTAAGGAGTGCTTGGCCATTTGACTAACTGGCTCTAATCTGACTGGCCAAGTCTAAGTAGCTAGCCAGCCAACTAGCCAATGATGGTTGACTGCCCGAAAGCCCACGCAGGTTCCACGAGAAAAAACAGCGAAATGCACAAAACATATTTAGAATTATTTTTGAGGAGCGACCCCTCCAAAGTCTGCAGATGGCTCTGCAAGCAAACTGACAAGTGCAAAGAAAGCACCAGCTTTTGGAGCGTTCGCAAAGGTTCACCGTTTGGTTGGGAAAGCTCCAGGATCACTCCGAGATTGCTCCAAGAACGCTTCCGTCAGCTGCAATCGAGGTGGTGAGCCGCATTCCGCCACGCTTTCTGCCGCCTCCATTCCCCAGTTCTCGCATTCTCTTAGTTGCTTCACTTTCAATGCATGCATGTCTCAGCTAAAACGAAGCTCAAGTCCAGTGCCAGTACCACAGAAGTGATTTGAGGAGCATGCCGCCCACTGAGCACGTCCAAACTTGGACACCACTCAACAAACGATAAGCAAGCCAGCAAGCCAGCTAACAGAAATTCCACAAGGCACACACAAAATGCAATTAAACAACGAGCACACATTCCACCAACGAACCCAATGCTGTCATACACACAAATGTTTCGCATCAGTGGCATGTTGAGCTTGGTCTTCCTTCAGAATGTTCTTGCAAAGCCGATGGATTTTGGGGAGTTTGGGCAAAACTTGCGGGGTGTCCAAACCCGTGGTAAGAATCTGCATTCCCAGAATTATCAGGGCTGTCTTGGCAGCATGACTTCTGTTGTTGTCTTTTTGGAGATGCCTAATATCCAATGGGGTTTTGCCGTTTTGAGCAATGTTGGATTTGGCTTGTTTGGGGTCTTGGCGGGGGCAGGTGTAGTGCCGATCTAAGGAACTGCTCAAATTGAGAAAAAAGCGCCACCTGCTGCGAAACATCCCCAGCATTATCAGTCTAAATTTCTGGTATTTGGGATTGCTGTCATCTTTTTGTTGATGGTTGAATTGGAAACCATCGAGAAACACTGTTTGCTCCCTGCTCTGCATTATCATTCCCCCGCACTCCCATCCCTAGTACTTGGCCAATGTTTTCCGTCCGAAGTAGCTGGGAGGACGCGTAGCTTTTGACGCAACACGTTGGGCCTCCTTTGTGGCACTTGACAGCTTACATGGAGCCTTTGGGACCACAAAAAGCGTCAGCGGATAGGGTAGCGGTTTCAATAAAATCAAGCAGCTGCATTCTTATCTTCAACAGTTTCGGGTGTTCGCCCTGTGTAATTTCAATTCATTGCCTGAATTGTGTGTGTGTGTGTGTTCAAATTAATATTGCGCCTCGGCAATGCTTTTTTTCAAAACGAGAGCTAGGCGCGATTTCATTTTCGGCGGCATTGTTTGCGCAGCTCTCGCCTTGGTTTCAAGTCTTCGAAACCCCTAATACACCTGACAGGCGTCGTCTCGAGTTAGGGCCCTGTTTTCCAAACGAAGTATAGTCTGGGGACTTGCGGAACTTATTGCACGGGCGCCTCCGCAGCTTCTGTGAAGAGTTCCAGGACGCCTGTGGACAGATTGGCTGCCAGGGCTTCCTGCACAGGTCCGCAACCAGCTCACATGGCAATGAACTTGAAAAGGCGAACCACAGAATAAGTGGTAGGTGGACATATATCCCCTTGTAAACGATGTCCAGTAACGCGTCCCTAGTCAAGATGCATACCCACATCTGCTCATTCACGGCTCCTGCCAGCTCAGCTGATCAGAGCGCGCCAGCGCCAGCAAAGCATCGCTACCAGCCTGCCATATGCTGTCAGTCTCTTCAAGAAAGTTATCACTTCACGCAATCATCTTTGCCTGCACGAAATTAACGATTTCTTGCTGCTGTGCTACCCGTTGTATAAAGCCGTGCTGCCCACGCAGTTGCCTCAAGTGATGAGATAATGATGCTGGATGAGTCAACGCAAGCCCCCCGCCCCTCGCCTGGCCCTCACTTGCCAGCAGCAGCCGCACTCGCCGCTTTTGGACGGCACTCGCACGTGTTGCGGCGAGGCAAGCGCCGCAGTCATCAGCGTAAAGCCGCGCTAAAGTGTTGCACACATCGCTGCACCCCACTGACTCCACCTCAGTCTGCACTGCGAGAGAATATCAGAACATAAGATGAGATGACATCAAGCTCATCAAGCAAACTGCCTGCCTTGCTCTCTTGGCAATCTTCCAATATCTGCAGCAGTGCATCCTCCACCATAGAGTGCCGCAGGGCCTTCGGGTCTCCTCACGATTGACATGCACCTCGTAAATGAGATTCCCCAAAGCATGTCTAGTTCGAGCACCATCTGCGCGGGAAAGGGGGCCGTTGGTGTGGGCTGAAAGGGCTGGCGCGCGAGCTGGTAAATGTCGCAGACGGACTTCGCTCAAAAGCCATGCGTCAGAGCACTATCCATGCGCCAAGGGAAGATTCTCATGCTTTCCGCGGGCAAGCGCTCCGGAATCACTATGCCAAGTCTCGCGTGCGCGCCCAGCCATGCGTTTCCCAGGCTTAGGCATGCATGCATGGACCCGAGACGCTCGCTGCGGCTTACGCAAGGAGGCGAGCGCTCCATTCGCATGAGCCACATGATGACATGACGGTCCACAGGGCTACAGTCGCAACATGTCCGTCCGAAACATGTTGATCACCGCTTGCACCATGCCTAATATTAATCTGGCATCTATAATAATCATGGTACCAACATCTTCACCATGAGTTGCACGACTCTGCATCCACAGGAGTCCCTCTCCTTGCAGCTCCTGCAGCAGTTTGCAGTCTACAAAGCCAGTCACCAGCAATCGCAATGCGGCCCGAACAGCCTGCCCAAGCCTCAGCGAAGATTGGCCCACAACACGCGTTCAACAGTTTCAGAGCCCAAGCACAATCAAATGTTTATGGTAGATCCAACCTAACCAAAACATCATTTAGGTAGGATTTGTCCACCAACCATTTTCCAGGGGGGGCTCCCTATTGAAATTGACAGCCATATCCTGCCCAGGCCGGACGCACCATGTTGAAGCAAAGCCTCGGCCTTTCGAAAGGCTTCCATCCAACTTCGGCACCCTTGTGCAAAGACCAAAAGAATGAAACGAGGAATCGCGAACCAAGGTTTCATGAGTGGCGCCTTACACGCTATCGTTGTGTCCGTCCACAATGGCCTGTACAGCTCCGCATAAACGACAAGACACTGCAAGAAACGCCACAATCGCTCATCTGCATCCTGAAGGACCTGCAGGGAGAGTGTTCAGTGACCCAGCCTTCTCATGCACCGTGCTGATGCCCCATGCCACTTGACTTGTTGCTGTGCCAATGGAACCATTGGCTGCCGTCGCACAGGTCAGGAGCTTGGAAAGAAAGTTTTTCACAAAGCCAAATCACCCTCTATCCCTTGGGAGCATCTTGTCTTTGCGATGGCATGCTGAGGTTGGGAGACATGCACGCACTGTGGCATTTTCTGGACATAGCGCTTTGCAAAGCCATTTTCCCTCTGGGGAACATAACATTATATGAGCTCCTGCCCACAAACCAGGCCTCCCGCTGCTGCAAAAGTCCTTGCAAAAGAGCATCAAGCTTTTGCCTTCTGTCGTCCAGAGTCCTGGCATCGACTTCTGAAAAACTGATCTAGAATCGCTTTCACTGGAACTCCTCGGCGAGTCATAGGCGTACCAGGTCACACCGGGCAGCGGAGGTAAGGCATAGCTCAGCTTTTTGCGCACCTGAACAGATTGAAAGATCTACACTACAAACCTGCCGAAACCAGGGCTCCTTATGTTTCCCCTTGAGACATCACCCTGCCAAAAGAAAGAGGCACCAAATTGGGTCAATGCCAAACGCTGAAGCTGTTCTCGCAGTGCCGGCAACTTCAGTCTGACAGCAATATGAAAATAGCTTGATTGGACTTGTCGAATACATATGCACATCTGAAGCTTTGTTGCTTCGCATTGCCATCTCAATGCCAGCCATGAGTTTCTCATGGATCCTCAAGTTGAACAAATAATCCGCTCAGCAAAGCGTTTGTTTCTTGCCGGCAGCCACAAAGGATCAGGCCAGAATCATCTGAACGCATTATTGAAGCTAGTCCAGTGCTCGAGCCGTCTGTGAGCAAGAAGCGATCACTTGTGCGGCAGCCTCGCTTGGGAAGGACTTGAAAAGTTGGGCGAAATCTGCATGGACCTGGCTGCCATGCAGCGAGAGCACAGAAAGCAAATCCATCATGATGGTCCACACAGGTTGAAGTACTAAGTGACAACTGGGCTGCCCTCAGATCCCCTGCTAAAAGTTTAGCTTTTAGCGGTTTAAATGAGGCTAAAATGCTAAGCGACAAGTCATTCGAATTCATGCATCCACGGTGATCTGTACGCATCCAGTGGCAAGCCTTCTCAAAGTCCTCAAAGGGAAGGTGCAGCTCGTGACTTTCGTCCAGTGCTCTGACCTCCACGACCTAGGCACGATGCACCGCTCCGAATGGCTCGTCCTTTTTAGGGACCCCCGAAATGGCAACTTGGTCCTTGTGGTTTTCCCTTCACCAACCAACAAGGTCCCCAAAAAAAGACAGACCCAAATGTGAAATAAAAATCTCTAACTCTGCAGTTGCGGCTTGGGGCCGGTTGTTTCAGCCACCGAGCGCGCTGCATAGAGAGCTGTGCTGACTCCCAAAAAGCCTCAACGCAACAAAAACCCATAGGGCAAACTCCCTCGGCTGGGTAATGCTCGCACAGTGATTCCGTGCCTCTTCCAGTTTCAGTGCGGGGAATGCTCACCTCAGACATGAGCTTATGCCAAACTGCACATGTTTAGATAATGCTGTCCGTCATGAGTCGGCATACAAGTTTGTGCAATCAAGAGTCAGGCAGTAACGGGGACGGATAAAGGCTGTTCCGGTCCCATGCTGCGAGCTGCAGCTCAGGCAAATACATGCAAACACACACAAACACACACCACACATGGAGCAACTCCCTGCGCTGGAAAGGATTCTGTTGCAATTGCCAGAAACCACCTGCCTGCTGTAGCCCCCTGATGCCTCATTAACATGAATGGTTTTCTGCCCTGCTGTGTTAGCACGCTGCAGATGCTATGCGCCTTGCACGGACTTGCACATGAAGTGAAACATCGGCCAACTCTATCGAACTTGGTGAAACAATTAACTCAATTGCCATCACTTCCTGGCTGCAAGTGCTCTGGCATTCGGGCAAAATATGACCACGTGGGTGCACACTTTCATCATCCGAAAAGGCCGCTTAGCGAAGGAGTCCTTTATCACCCGAAAAGGCCGCTTAGCGAAGGAGTCCTGTATCACCCGAAAAGGCCGCTTAGCGAAGGAGTCCTTCATCACCCGAAAAGGCCGCTTAGCAAAGAAGGCCGCTTAGCGAAGGAGTCCTTCACCACCCGAAAAGGCCGCTTAAAAAGGAGTAGCTTCATCTTCATCACCCGAAAAGGCCGCTTAGCAAAGGAGTCCTTCACACCCGAAAAGGCCGCTTAGCGAAGGAGTCCTTCACCACCCGAAAAGGCCGCTTAGCAAAGGAGTCCTTTATCACCCGAAAAGGCCGCTTAGCAAAGGAGTCCTTCACCACCCGAAAAGGCCGCTTAGCAAAGGAGTCCTTCATCACCCGAAAAGGCCGCTTAGCAAAGGAGTCCTTCACCACCCGAAAAGGCCGCTTAGCAAAGGAGTCCTTCATCATCACCCGAAAAGGCCGCTTAGCGAAGGAGTCTTTCATCACCCGAAAAGGCCGCTTAGCGAAGGAGTCCTCCTTCATTAGCACCTTCGAAAAGGCCGCTTAGCGAAGGAGAAAAGGCCGCTCCTTCACCACCCGAAAAGGCCGCTTAGCGAAGGAGGAGGCCGCTTAGCAAAGGAGTCCTTTATCACCCGAAAAGGCCGCTTAGCAAAGGAGTCCTTCACCACCCGAAAAGGCCGCTTAGCAAAGGAGTCCTTCACCACCCGAAAAGGCCGCTTAGCGAAGGAGTCCTTCACCACCCGAAAAGGCCGCTTAGCGAAGGAGTCCTTCATCACCCGAAAAGGCCGCTTAGCAAAGGAGTCCTTCACCACCCGAAAAGGCCGCTTAGCGAAGGAGTCCTTCATCACCCGAAAAAGGAGTCGCCGCTTAGCGAAGGAGTCCATCACCCGAAAAGGCCGCTTAGCAAAGGAGTCCTGTATCACCCGAAAAGGCCGCTTAGCGAAGGAGTCCTTCACCACCCGAAAAGGCCGCTTAGCGAAGGAGTCCTTTATCACCCGAAAAGGCCCCTTTATCACCCGAAAAGGCCGCTTAGCGAAGGAGTCCTTTATCACCCGAAAAGGCCGCTTAGCAAAGGAGTCCTTCATCACCCGAAAAGGCCGCTTAGCAAAGGAGTCCTGTATCACCCGAAAAGGCCGCTTAGCAAAGGAGTCCTGTATCACCCGAAAAGGCCGCTTAGCGAAGGAGTCCTTCACCACCCGAAAAGGCCGCTTAGCGAAGGAGTCCTTTATCACCCGAAAAGGCCCCTTTATCACCCGAAAAGGCCGCTTAGCGAAGGAGTCCTTTATCACCCGAAAAGGCCGCTTAGCAAAGGAGTCCTTCATCACCCGAAAAGGCCGCTTAGCAAAGGAGTCCTGTATCACCCGAAAAGGCCGCTTAGCAAAGGAGTCCTGTATCACCCGAACAGGCCGCTTAGCGAAGGAGTCCTTCACCACCCGAAAAGGCCGCTTAGCGAAGGAGTCCTTCATCACCCGAAAAGGCCGCTTAGCGAAGGAGTCCTTCATCACCCGAAAAGGCCGCTTAGCGAAGGAGTCCTTCACCACCCGAAAAGGCCGCTTAGCAAAGGAGTCCTTCACCACCCGAAAAGGCCGCTTAGCAAAGGAGTCCTTCATCACCCGAAAAGGCCGCTTAGCGAAGGAGTCCTTCAAAGGCCGCTTAGCAAAGACTTAGTCCTTCAGACCGCTTAGCCCGCTTAGCGAAGGAGTCCTTCACCACCCGAAAAGGCCGCTTAGCGAAGGAGTCCTTCATCACCCGAAAAGGCCGCTTAGCAAAGGAGTCCTTCACCACCCGAAAAGGCCGCTTAGCGAAGGAGTCCTTCATCACCCGAAAAGGCCGCTTAGCGAAGGAGTCCTTCATCACCCGAAAAGGCCGCTTAGCAAAGGAGTCCTTCATCACCCGAAAAGGCCGCTTAGCGAAGGAGTCCTTCACCACCCGAAAAGGCCGCTTAGCAAAGGAGTCCTTCATCATCACCCGAAAAGGCCGCTTAGCAAAGGAGTCCTTCACCACCCGAAAAGGCCGCTTAGCAAAGGAGTCCTTCATCACCCGAAAAGGCCGCTTAGCAAAGGAGTCCTTCACCACCCGAAAAGGCCGCTTAGCAAAGGAGTCCTTCATCATCACCCGAAAAGGACGCTTAGCGAAGGAGTCTTTCATCACCCGAAAAGGCCGCTTAGCAAAGGAGTCCTTCATCACCCCAAAAGGCCGCTTAGCGAAGGAGTCCTTCATCACCCGATAAGGCCGCTTTGCAAAGGAGTCCTTTGTCACCCGAAAAGGCCGCTTAGCGAAGGAGTCCTTCACCACCCGAAAAGGCCGCTTAGCGAAGGAGTCCTTCACCACCCGAAAAGGCCGCTTAGCAAAGGAGTCCTTCATCACCCGAAAAGGCCGCTTAGCGAAGGAGTCCTTTATCACCCGAAAAGGCCCCTTTATCACCCGGAAAGGCCGCTTAGCAAAGGAGTCCTTTATCACCCGAAAAGGCCGCTTAGCGAAGGAGTCCTTCATCACCCGAAAAGGCCGCTTAGCGAAGGAGTCCTTCATCACCCGAAAAGGCCGCTTAGCAAAGGAGTCCATTATCACCCGAAAAGGCCGCTTAGCAAAGGAGTCCTTCACCACCCGAAAAGGCCGCTGGTTCCTTCGCAATTCATCGCCAAGACATTTCAGCCCCTGACTTTCTTAGCAAAGGTTAAGAAAATGGCGAAGGTCTCCAGCCCCTTGGCTCCAGAGGGGTAAACATCAGCCCTTTGAAAGACGTGGACGCTCAGAAATTGAGCCCTGAGCCTTGACCAACCGATTTCTCATACAGCGCTCGCACTTAGCAAGAACCCGCTCTTGCAACAGGCCAGAAGGACTTCCCTTTTTTCTTAGGCCCCTTCTTGGCGCTCCACTTCTCCCCGTTCCACCTGGGCAGATTTTTCAGGCAGATTTGATGATCTTGCTTCTGACGCCCTGCCATTGAAGCGATCCTTTGTCCGGCTTCCCAGGCGACTTTTGTACCTGACAGCACGTGTGTCAAATGCTCTTGCAGCACAGGTGACTTGCATGCCTTGCATGACGCGGAAGATGCCAACCCTCCGAATGGAGCACGTCAATTTCAACCGGCCCGATGCGGGCAATGGTATTCTTGACAACTGGAGCGCTCAAGCGATGCCTGCCATCGGGCCAGACATGCAGTGCAAATACATCTGTGAGTTGAAAAGTACATGCCATCAGCACGCCAGGCACAGCTTCTCTTCTTGATCCTCCCAGCTAACATCCACAAAGAGCACGCACCTAGGATGTCAAGAGTTGCTTCCATGCGAATGCGTCGAAGTACTGAGCTCTCAAATGGCTGACAGGGTGTGTCTTTTCCTTTTGGCGTCCCTTTAAAAACATCCAAAAAGGGGTACCCTCCAAAAACAGACACACCCATGTCAGTGATTGGCAGCACAAAAGCAACAAGCCGTATTCTGCCATGGCGCTTCCCTTCTTTGAGGGCAACAAAGGTCAGCCTGCCGAACACAATTCACTGCAACAATGCACGTGGGTCCCCCCAAAAAAAAGGAAACGCAGCCTCGAAAAAAGGCACAGCCATGAAGCGAGAGCCAGTCAGTTCAAGCGAGTTGCTGCAGAAGGGGATCCGGTTCCGGGCCAGCCCTGGGCTCGAACGCCAGTGCCAGTTGAAGCGATCGGATAAGCCCTGGGCTTCTTTTTGCTTTTTCCCTTCTTCACCTCGATGATTTCGTTCACCGGCTTGCTAAGCACGTCGGTCTTGTCCATGTACGCGTTGGCTGAATACCTGAAAAGGATACGAAAGGAGCCAGGGCAAAAGCCATATTCGTGTGCAGCAAGTAGTGCAAGTGCAGGACCGCTTGGCAAACAAGTGTGACGAAAAGTCTCAAGGCACCTGTACTCTCCATTCTCATCGGTCTGAGGAACCTGCAAGAGCTGGTCTTTTATTGTACCATGTGCAACACGCATTGGCTTTGGAACTCAGACAATTCAGTGCAGCAGCAGGCCTCTACGATCAGTGTTTCGCCAACTTGCATCGTCTGGCCAGAGCAAGTTGGCAGCTGTTAGACAGAGGCCAACAGCTTGACAAGCAAGAATCCCAATCTGGGCGGCTCAGCCATTGGACGAGGAGGTAGCTTTTCGCCCACTCCGACCAGTTGCGTCTCCCAATCCAAGCCTAAGCATCACTACATAAGAATTGAGGATTGATCTTGAACATTCCAGGCGGTGGCAAATGGGTAGTTCATGCATGCTTCCCCTGAGAGCAAACGTCGCCATCATGCTGCATTTCTCAACAATGGCTAGCTCAGGGGCTCAGCTACGCAGAAGCGTCAGGGTCACCCTGTGATGGTTGTTGATGAAACACTTGATGTTGGCATACACAATGTGTTCCAACGAATCAGCTACCCTGCGGTATCCCAGCCTGACAGTCATGTGAGAAATGAGTGGACGCCTCTGCCATTCATAATGGCCAGACAATGCTTAGGCGTGCACCCCACGACATGCCAACTCGCTGTGCGAACAAGCCATCGCGCTCCTGCAGCGAGTGCACTTGCGCTTCTCAGAGTGCCAAATCAAAGCCTGAGTTTGAAGCTTGCTCGCGTTGTGTGTTGTGACTGTCCTTGCCAACCTTTTGCAAAGTGCAAAGATATCTTACTAGCAATATAACAGAGGATGGCCGCTATTACGCAGATCTTGGCAACGTCGGGAAATTTGTACGCCTTAACCTATCCATTGGGACAAACTTGAGAGCTTGTCTCTTGTGCACCTCTCACAGTGTTTGAGGCATACCCATGGCAAACGCATAGTTTCAATCTATAGCATTCCGCGCACACAGACCAATGTCAACACCAGGGCTTCAGCATCGTTGTGCCATTAATAATTGGGAATGCATGAACAGAGTTTGTATGTACCTTGCTCTGCAAGTTGGCGCCTCTTTCCTGCATAGACACTGTTTCCCTTTGTGGCTTTGCCAGCCACAGGGTTTGCGACCACCCTCATTCATCTCGCTAAGAAACATGTCAGGTCGAATGCATGCTGTACTAGCTTCAAAATGACTTCCGAGAGTCTCTAGTTTTGCATTCTTAGAAGCTGATCTCCACATTGGTTGTACATAAGCCCGTCTCCTCCAGGAATGCACGTGGCTGACGAAGCAGCTTGGTTGGTCGCTTTCGGAGATTCTTGACAAAGAGCCTTATCAATGCAAGAAAATAGCAGGAGAAAATAGCAAATGTTCTCGCCGTTTTTCTCCCACACTCAGCAAGTGGCTTTAGCTCTGCGTTGGGCTTGGACAAATAAGACAACATTGCCTGCATGGGCCGTACACCAAATTCCCATGCGCACTGTGTAACAAAACAAAACGGCAAAGAAAATGCTTCTCCAAATCATACTGACAAGTGGTTCTGTGACAGCGCGCCGAGGTGTTGCCCTCGCCAGGACGCTCCCCGCGAAGAAGGGTCACAGATCTTGGACCTTTGCCCCAAGTCCGTGCATCTGTGGCACTTCAGTGCATGCGGTACAGTTGCAAAGTAGTTCGCCTAGTGTATTTAAACTAGGTGCAAATCCTTGCACGGGAACCCGCCTGATCCTCCGTCGCGTGGCGGCCCAATGTAAGACACGGAAACCCATGTATCGTGGGACCTAAGCCAACTGCTCTGCGTTTTCAGCAAGCACCTTCCGGACCGTTCTGGCAGCATTGCCCTTCAATTGATGTATGAGCCACGGTCAAACATTTGCTGCCAATCATGGACATGGGAAAATTGAAGTTATTCTGCTTTGTGTGAGAAACTTGGACTCCCCCAAAACAGCGAAATTTGACCGAACCCTCACATTGTAATACTTGCAGTCAAGGCTTTGGCAGTCTCAAGTGCAAGCGCAGCAACGCCATCACGTCGTCAGCTGTGGCCAAATTCAATGGCAATGCAACCTTCGCAAGCTCGAGAATCTCGAGATCCGAGCGATTCAACTTTGGGCTTGCCTCACCGCACTCCTTCCAGAACTCGGCATTGCGGCACGCATCCTCTGTCGGCTCATCCTGCTGTTTCGACGAGTTCCATTCGGAAATCTGCTATGGAAGGCCTGCCATGCCAGCGAAGGCGGGTGGAAGCAAGGCTGCGCAGAGGCTTGGACCTGCTATGCCGAGAAGGGTCGCAACACACTGAACGTCGGGTGTGCCTTAGGGGACACGCCAAAATGGTGGCTTTCTGTTTGTCCCGTTCAAACCAATCAGATACCCCATAACCCCCAGAAAAACCACGCACCCAAACCCGGCGGCGTACGTAGATGGTCACAGGAGCAGTTTCCTGGCGCACGCAGGAAAAGAAGACGTAGCCAGCAAAGCCCGACAGTGCCTTGCGCCCTGCTATCCTTTGTTGATGCAGTACCTGCAGCTGACCGACACTGCCTAGGCAAATGTGAGGCACCTGCCTTCTCAATTCTCTGGAGAGTCTGCAGAATCGTATCGGTGCGCTTCTTGACACCTGGAAATTTGGGGCTCCCTCAACACTCATTGCAGTGCACATGGAATGCGCAGGCCTTCAAACATCGAGAAGCTTGCCTGGGCCAAATGTCAGGCATTGCCAACACACACACACACACACACGCCATATAGGTAGCCACATCAAAATCTAGTCGGAGGGGCAGTGCTTGTGTAGTGTGATTTATTGAACAAGTCAGGAATTTCTGCGTCGCGCCTCCAAAAACTCTCCAATGTCCAATACCTCCAGCATCATACAATGAAGACCCAACCCATCTGATTTATGCTGTCTTTACCAAGCTGACTTAAGAGTCGCACACCGTCTCCATTGCTATCGGCAGCTTGGAAGGCAGCTTCGTCAATCCAGCCTGGGAGAGACATGCTGATGCAACACCTCGAAATCAGGCCATGCTGACGGTGCCTTCATCAAGATCATCGCTCACCTAACAACCATTTGCAAAGACAAAGCTGTTGATGAGGTGCTGCAAGTGTCAGTTCAACAGACCAAACTGCACCGGGCCTCAGTGGCTACCGTTTTTTGCGCTGCAATCCACTCCTCCAGAAGTCAAACTTGCAACAAGGCAGCCGCCAAAGAACAGGTATGCTGATTGGCGGGTCACTCTTTTTAATTGCCATGCCGTTTGCCCATTGTAAGGGAGATTGGATGGGCCAGGGCCTCGGGTGACAGAAAGCCATCGCCAGAGACGTCGAAGAGAGCGAAGATGTTTCGCAAAGCCTACAGCCACCAGGTCTGCAGCAAATGGTTGCTTGCAAAATTTGCAGCCTGTCTGATGCCAGCATGGTATCGCGGCCCCATCTTGGCTCTCTCCAGCAAGGCCTCAGGGTGAACAGTAGCTGACTTGAGAGAACTCCACGCGCACAGTGGCTCACACGCAAGACAGCCTGGCCTTCTGGGTTTGCTCTGTCATGTGATCCAGCACCTGGAAACTGAGGCAGCACGAGCACAAACTGACTACACAAATAGAGCCTACACTAGTACCATAGTAGTGGCTGCTTGTCTTGAAAATTCAAAAGTCTGATTTCAGCACGTAGCCGACTGAAGGATTCAAGTCAGGACAAAGCAAGCCCGCTCTTGTCTCCATCTGTGCCTCACAATATGTTACTTCAGAAGACTACGTCGGCATTCCTTCCTGATACAGTCTTCCATTCTGAGAGGGAGACATAAGTTTAGTGACAAAGGGCTCGGTTCAAGCATGCACTAGACCACTCAACACCCCTGTTGCATCCCCTGAAAATCTTGGGATTGCTAGCATACGTACAGGCACTTGCAACAGTGAAGTCCTAAGTCTTTGAGCTGCAAAAGTGCTCGCTCAATGTGCCTCCTGACGGGACATGCCCATCTCCTGGTAAGCTGTCAGCGTCCGAACTCGAAACTCCTGACAGACCGCGGGCGCAGCTGCAGAGCGCTTCGCTCGCATCCTGCCTGAAAGTCCAGAAATCCGCTCGAATCGCGATCCGCCAAGGTCATCTTGGCATTTCCAGATTCTCCTCGATACACCTGCAATTTTCGTACATGCTTTATTCGAAACTTTGGACTTACAGAACATTTGCCGTCGCAAAATCCGAAAGGGCCGACTTGCAGAAAATAAATGCCATGAACCTGCAAGTGTTGAGCACATGCCAAGTGAAAACCTTGCGCAATGCCTGGCCATCCTCATAGTGCAACCGCATCTCGATGGCAAGGAACTCCTCGCGACTTAAGAAGCCTGACCTTGGCGGATGCTGCGCAAGTTGGGTGTGCTGCTTGATGGCGCCCTACTTTCTTCCTTGTTTCAAGGAACCAAAAGGAAAATCACTATTTTGGGGTGGTCCCCCAAAACGAACACACCCAGGTCACAAAACGCACAACTCAAACAAGTCAAGACAACTGCGGAACTTGTCACTGAGAATGCGGCTCATCCAAGTCGTATGCTCTAAAAAGTGTCGCCAAGGCTGCTTCAACCTCATCCTCCCCTGACACACAAATGGTTGTGTCTGCGGACATCAGTCAAAAAGCGTCTCAAGCTGCTTCGGCCTTCGTCCATGACCAGAAAAGACGAGGGTGTCTCCAATCAATTTTGGCTTGAGCCGCCGGCTTGTCACGAGCAAAATGCCTCCGTTTGCGGCAATTGCACCTATCACGCACCATGCGAACGAGGCATGCCTGGCTTAATCGTGTTTTCTTCTCTGGAAGCAGGCAAAGAAGCCAAAACCTCAAAACACGCTCGTTCTTTCCAAACGCGCTTGTTCCTCCGCTTTGTCTCCGCATGTGCGTTGTTTCAACGTCTCTCACCAAACAATGAGACCATGTGCAGGAAGAGGTTGATAATGTCCTAAGAGCCGGATGCAAAGGATGCGCACATATTGCATATATTGCAAACATATTGACATGAGCAAGGTGCCAGGTAGAGGTTCAGCGCCGCAAAGACGTACTCGTCAATGGCAATGGCAACCTGCAAGAAAATCTCTCAGAGGGTCTGCAAGAGGCAGAGATTGCCAGCATCCTCTGGGTCAAACAAAAGATACCTGCTGATGAATCCTCCCTGTGCCATGGTCTCAAAACTGCTTCACCTTGTGGCCGCCCCATTCGCCGAGCATCAACCTGATGGAAGGAGGAGACTGGATTCTCAAGCAAAGCTTCGCTGCTCAGAGATGCTTGTTGCAGCTGAGCGTCTGCGTGTCGAAAATGATGGCAAACGAAAAAACCAAAACCTAAGCTGTCGTCATGCAAAACATATTGGGGAATACAATGTGTCATGCTAACTGAGGGTCTGACACCTAGGCAGTCGTAGATGGCAGTGCTCACGGCAATTGGGACCCCGATCCTCGGCTGGACCGCAGCCGGTTTTGCATTGCCAACTCTCTGAGGCTGCTGCAAGGGGAGCAATCCCAAAATGAGGCCAAAGATGAAGAGGATCAACATACCCGCAAACAGATAGGGCCTCACGCAAATTCGAAAGGCGGATGCAACCAAAAAAAACTGAGTCTCCTGTAAGCGCGGGGCGCAGAGCCTGTGAAGTCTGTCTTGGCCTGCATGGCGTAAGCTGTCAGCGCCTCAGTGCTCATCCGATTTCGGACGCATAGGCATGCGTGCCAAACTCGAGCCATTTGAGCCAGGGACCAGAAAGATCAAGGTGGTAACACCAGCCGCCAGGAGCAAGCTCTGGGGAGTGAACATCTCAGTCCGCTTATGGATCAAGGTTTCAAAGCTGGGTGGCAGCTGGGGTCGGAACTGTGCTAACAAGACCAATGAGAACCGCCTCAAAAGCCGTGAAGGTGAACAGCAGCACATAGTTCGTTGGATAACTCCTTCAGGCACTCTCTTGCGATCTGTGCATAAACGCCATTCGCTTGCCATCCAATCTAAGTCCTCATGGCATCTCGGCAGCAAAGCATGCAACACATGATGGAGAACGTGCCAATCACCTGAGCTCGAAGTGGACTCGAGTGCCGGCAAGCGCCCACGGTCTGAGAGGTGCACAGACGCCCACAGCAGCCACTCGTGGCTGCTGATCCAAGAAGCAACATTGCCTGGCGATCGCTGGGATGGGACATGCATTCTGTGCATGCCACATGGATCTGAATTTGAACAAGGGACCGTTTGGTGGACGTCATTCAGGTGGGGATTTGTGTCCACCAACAACTTTCGAGGGGGTTTCCAATGAAAAATCATCGCCATAGCACGCCATCTTTATCTGTATTCTGTGCTTCCCCAGGGGCCCTGCATTCCTAGTTTGAAAGCGCTGTCCACTTCAAGCGCCTGATGCACTGGCCAAAAGCACAATCTCAGTGGCGATCAGGACCTGGGCGAACTCAATCTGAGCCGAAGAATACGTGCAATGCCCCCGACCAAGGGACAACTGGCAGGCGGGGTCTGTTTTCTTACTTGCTGCTGCGAAGTATAACTTACCGCAAACGCTGTGCTTTTCCTACATATTATGCTGGTAGGTCTAGCACATTTCAACTTGGACAGGTGTCACAGCTTCATGCCCGACATCGCAATAACATCAGCTCTTCATATTGCTATGAATGAATTTCGCTGAGCTGCTGTGAGGGCCAGCTGCGTGGTCAGCAGCCCATAGACCTGGCGCGAGAGATGCTGACATCTGATTCCGCGGAGATCTCCTGGGGGCCTTCTGAACAAAGCGTCGCCGTACTGCGATCGACGCACCTACGCAACTGCGCCGGTCACAGGTACTCCGAGGGTCAGGGATAGTCCGAGTCCCATCTCTCCCATGATCTTTCCATGTTCGATGGGCCGCCTTTGATATCAACGTTCAGCAGGGTGTCTTCCTGCACCGCGCAACACAGAACCATCCATCCAAAGGATCTAAAGGCGTATCATAGTATGCGCTCCGCCTCACCCTGCAGCTCCTCCATGCCTGCACCATCAAGAACCGGACTCTCTGCAAACAAACCAACTGCGGCAATTGCACAGAGCTCGCATTTCGCGCCTAAGGCAATGGACCGCGGTTCGGTTGGCCTCTCTCGCAACGAAAGCTCTTGTCTCAAATAGGAGACCCCGGAATTGGGTTGTTTTCCTTTGGTGTCCCCAGAACACCGTCGAACAAGGCCACCCCAAGAAAAGACGCACTCTCGCATCATTGTGACCCTGCCTGGGACCGGGAATTCATGAGATCCCCAGTCCCCCCTTGAGTCCCAAATACCCAGTGGAGAAAATCGCAGGCGCCTCAACCTACGCGATCATGGGTCGTTTTTGAGGGCACCCTTTTTGGGTGGGTTTAAAGGGATCCAAAAAAAGAACGCAAGAAAACACACCCAGAATATGTGATCTTCTTCAGGGACCTTTAGTGGACATCATTTACTTGGGGATTTAGCCACCAGCCATGTTTGAGGGGTTCCCCCGTAAAATCCGTAGCCGCCCGCGTGCTCGTCTACCATTCCTAACTTAAGTGTTGACATTCAGACCGCGTGAAGCAGAAACAGCGCATTCCTGTGGAGCCAGATCTGGTTGGCTCTCTGTAGCGCATTTTGTTGTGGGAGCTTGCACAGGAGCCAGGCAGCTCTAGCTGTACCTGCTACGGTGATACTGTATTTGCGATGTGTGAAACGTGAACGCAAGCAACAAATGCGTCGAACATGCTGTCAGGTACAAGAACAACGAGGCTTGCTTGAAAGCAGCTTCAACTGAATGCTATCTGACACAAATCGGCAAAGTGTGAGACGCTCCTACGCACATTTATGCGGGTTGGGTCCCGATGCGAAACCTATGACTACAACTGACAAACTCCACCACTCAGCGGTGAGTTGTTGACCTGCTCGGCTGCGTGGTTCTTTCTCTGCTCGCACAGAGCATTTGAGGATGCGGCATTCTAAGCATTTGTCGAGGTATCTGGTAAAGACGTCTCCTCGACAAAAACAACAACAACAAGCAAAACGAGCCACCCAAATGCAGCCGTGCCAAGCGGGCTTTGACCTGAGAGCCCACAACTGCACGTCTGTCTATTCGTTTGCAAGGGTTCTGGATCTTTGGGCAGGATCAGCCGTGTTAGGCACTGAAAAACAAAGAAAGCTAAGCCTGATCCATTGCAAGTCCACGGATCCTCCTTGCGCATCTCTGGTGTTGAGGCGCTCGGCCTCAGCTGACGAATTTTGCACTCACACTCCAAATGCACAGGATCCGACTTTAGCTTCTTAGGCTCCCGGTGTCGGTCGCCTATCTTTGGAAGCCTGTGGACTTTCCAGGGCGGTTGAACGTTGCAACTCAAAGCGCCTTGACAGTGAGGAGCTACTCGGACTCAGGGGAGGGTTCAAAGGTCTGATGGACACCTGCCAAAGCAGACAAGAGAAGCGCCTTAGTCACCCGCCTCTGCCAAGGCGCGGAACACAGCCCAGCCATTCACGGAACTTTTGTTCAAGATAGGCCACAGCATTTCCAGCCCTCAACTGTTCTGGACGTACATCTCCATGTACATGCAAGGTTGCAACAAATGGCTGCCATCAAAACACCACACACACCATTTCAGAAAGCGCATCGACCGCTTTAGACTACCCCCTTCCATGGAAATGAAGCGCGCAGTGCAGGTCAACAAACTTCAACGGCGGCCTTGGCTCCAAGGCTGTCCCCTGGGGGCCAGTGCTCCTGTAACCTTGGCAACTGGTGTGCCCTAGTTGCGCAGGGGCAGAAACAAATCAGCTTGTGCCACAAGTTGGCATCGCTGCGCACTGGTCAACAGCTTTCTCGTTGAGCCACGTCGTAGCTGCCCCAAAGCCACAGGGCAACTCCCAGCCGCTTTTGGCGCTGTTTAGGAATGTGTAGGTAGAAACGAACTCCCTCTCTCTCTCTCTCTCCCTCTGTTTCTGTCAATACATCTCCAGCAGCAACCAGCAATTATGATATTCCATTGAAACCTCAGGCGCGGACCCTATTGCCTGCGGTCGCTTGATCCGCATGAGGTCCGCATCGATTGGCGACTCACAGGACGCGCACTTGCCTGGCAGCTGGCACACGAAGCCGACTGACCGACGGCTCAGTGCCTTCCAACTGCTCACAGGCGGTCAGGTCGCCTAACAGCTGGCGCTTGGCAAAGAGCGCGATGCTCTCCCCGGCTGGAGCTGCAGCCACCTGGTGCAAGAGGGCGGTTTTCTTTTTTCCCCAAACAGTGTCTCTACACCAATTGCGGGGTTCTTACGGTTAGGTCAGGCCGGGTTCAATTCGTGCCAACTTCGGATATGGTGGATTGGTGCATTCTTTGGCTGGGCTCTGGCTGTGGCGCAGTGCGATTTTCAACATCGGAAGTGAACCCTCTGAGGACTTTGGGTGCCTTGAAGCGATGTCGCTGCCGCGGCGCGCAATTTTCTCTAGACTTGGGCGGGTCGGATCGCTCTGGGTGTGGCGCACATTTTGAACATCGAAAGTGGACCCGTTGCAGACTTTAGGTGGCTCAGATTGCACTTGCAAGACATCTGGTGGAAGGTGCTCTCTACAGATCCTGGACAAAGAACTTCAACATAAAGATTCTCTGTCTACATTACCACTTGGAAGGACATCCTTCCAAGCCCTGCGCAGGACCTCTTGAAACGACCCCTATGAAGGACCAGCGCAAGACATCTTTGGTAGGATGTTTGCAGGGTCTCTGGGTAGGATATTCAAAAGTGCTTTGAGCAAATGAGACACCAGTCCGCGCTGGATACGGCCTTTGCAATATGGGAAAGTGCCACACCACAATGCAGGGTGTGCTCTGGATTTTGACCTTCAGATTGAAATCCTTAGAGATCTAAAGCCCTTTAAATACGTTTCGTGTTCCTCGCCTGCTTGATGATCTCTGCCACCTGCTCGAGGTCTGGCTTCGTCTGGAGCGCTTGCACCACACTGGGCCGCAGGGTGGCATCTTTCTTCACAGGTGTGACATGGCAACTATCCGATGGCAACAAGCATATTGTACTCGTCAAGTGCAACAGCTCTCCATATTCAGCATGCTTAGCACTGCCCCTCACGCACGCAGCCCTTTTGCAGGCCTGGATTTGAACATTTCCAGCCAGCGCTTGACCTCTTCACGCAGATCCTGGTCAAAGCATGTCAAAGCAACGGGCTTGAGATTGCAGAGAGATCTCTCGGAAGGTGAGCTGAGCAAAACTCCGCATCATGGTCCTGCACGGCTTTCTGCAGTTCTTCAGTGAAGCCTGAGCTCAAACTTGCCAGAGTGTCCATGTTTTTTCGTCTATCCAGCCTTGCAACGCTCCATCTCGGTCCTAGCACAAAGCACTTGCTTGGCACGGGAACACCATCCAATTTGCAGAGGAGCCGGATGCACCTGAATTATATTGGCAGCCAACAAACGCAACAAACAGGCCAAATGCGGTAAAGCACAAAGCATCGGATTCCATTCACTGCAGTGCAATCGGCAGGCCTTGCCATCACCTGTCAAAGCACGACATGAATTGTGCCAGCATGCTAGACATTTGCGATGGATCCAGCATGAGTACTCAGTTGCCAAGCGATTGCCCGGAACATTCTTGTCCAAGCGAACTAGTGCTGGTAAACGTCACGGCTGGTCACACACACATACAGAGACACACGGAGACAAATAGAGACACACAGAGACACACACACACACCGACACACACCCACACACACACACACACACACCAGAGCCACACAGACAGACTGACTCACAAACAGACACACACAGACACAAGCACACAGACACTCAGAGACACACACACACACACCTCACACCCACACCCACAGACACACATTTGGCGTGCGTTCCATGCGTTCTGAGTCAGCTTTGAAGAAAGCGGGTTGAGACTTGAAAGCAGGGATGGGGGAAGGCAAGGAGAGCAGCATGCCTGGCTAGAAAGTCTAGCTTTCACGGCTCCCTTCCGTTTCATTCATGTACCTCACACATTGACAGCCCGCAACATTGGCCGCCTGAAGCTGGGTCACGCTCTTGGTGGGAGTCCTGAGGTCAACGGCAACTTGATGAGTGTTGACGTGAAAGTGACTAAGTGTCTCAAAACAACAAAGATATTGCTCAGGGAGCGTGGCACCTACATCACAACAACCTCATCAGCGACGCTTGGCAAATCCTAATTGCCAGCTTTGAACACGTACTTTGTTTTGAATGCACTCAGGCGACTCCGAATGCATGAAAATTATGCCCTCTTGTGGAGCCATGAATAGTCTGGAATTCATATCTGCCATGGTGCTTTTCGGCCAGCCTGGCTCACCGGTCATCACTCTATATTTCTATACACTCCCTATGCTCGAAATAGCTTTTTATTGGCTCTTGGAACGGATTGTGCTGGCTAGGCTATAACCCGCAGGGGTCAGGACTGCAAGAGCAGCAATGATGCTGGACAACTGTTCTGCAGTCAGAGAGGTCTGCAGAAAAAAGCATGTGGCAAAGCCGAAGGAAGACTGCAGCATACAATTGGCGAAAGCACCCTCAGATTGCCCAGGGAAGAAGTCCGAAAAGGTTGCTCTATTGGTGGACTCGTAAACTGCACGCACAGATCCTTGCAGCAGGTAGAGTGAAAGCAACAACCATCCCCAACCAACGCAGCCGTCCCGTGTGAGCAACGGAATGACAAAGGCGCACCCAGCGCCCAGTGCAATGATGGGGGCCTTGCCATAAGTACTACTGAGCGGGCTGTACGCCTTTGAAAGCAAGGCAGCCGCTAGAGCTGTAACTGCTCCCAGAAATGCAACTGACTCTTGACCAAGTTCCTGTGCTGCGAAGTTGGCATTTACAAAGCCGTTCATGTAGGCTGCGCAGAATCCAAATGATAGGTTCGTAGGTGCAAGCAGCCATATGACGGGGTCTGTCCACAGCGATGCGGCGGCCAACACCTTGTCCAGAGGTTTTGCAGCGCCTGATGGAGACGGAAAGTCATAGACCTGAAACATCAGGACGAGTGAGACGGCGCCGAGCACAAAATACACCGAGGCAATGATCCAGACCTCGAAGCCCAGTGCCTGCAATGCGGAGAAGCCCAATTTGCTGAGCACCTCCAAGAGCAAATAGGCAAATGCAAACTGTCCCGACAATTCCGAGGTCGCTTCCTCGCGACTCTGTCCCGTGATTGTGGCCAGCTTATCTGCGCTGCTGGTGAAATATGTGCCTTGAGCCGTCCACAAAATCCCTGCTGCGAGGCCGCCGCAAGCTGAGCCGGCTGTGAAGAGTGCCTGCTCCGTCAAAAGCGCCCCGGCAAAGCATGCGATGTAGACGCAGTAGAAGAACATACCCAGCAGAAGCCCTCCCTTGGGGCCGAGCTTTCCAACAACTGGCGCTCCCAGCAGCAACGAAGAGAACAAAGTCACTGCGTACAGCAAGCCATTTGCAAACGAGGCGACATCAATCTCGAGAAGTGATGATGACACCGCCAAAGGAGTCGTCACAACCCCATGATTCAAGGCAAACAGCACACCCATCAAGTTGAAGTTCGCTCGCACTTCTTCTGCCGAGATCTTGCCTTCAATTGCCTCCTTGCCGGCCTTTGCAACATGGAATCGACTTCTTCCGCGAGAGCGTGTGCGAAAAGAGCCAGCGCGTGGGACGAGCCTTGCGAAAGAAATGCCTACAAGTGAACCCGCCCACACCCGGGGACTCGAGCTCAGCCGCGCCGCGGGGTGGCTGCCTCTGTGGACGGGAGTTGGGTGCCAAATCGCAGAGGCCAGCTGCATGACGGGTGAAGCGCCGGGCACTTTTTATGATTGATCACTGGGAGCAGTTCAACCATTAAAAAAGCCTGATGTTCAATGTTCAACTAGTTCAACCATGTGAGTTTTTGGATGGTTCAACTAGCTTCAAAATTAGGTTGCCTGATTCTGCATTGTGAGCAAAGCTGCTTGAATTGTCTGCAGTCTCCTGCACTGATGCCGTTTAAGCCTTAGTCATGAAAAGTGTACCTCATCTTGCACCCTTGCGAGACAAAGTGCTTGGACCAAATCTGCAGCTGCACAGCTCAACAGAACGCAGGAATGTATGATTGTGCAAGAATGCTCCGCTGTAGCCAGTTTCCATATTCAGAAAGGCTCCTCCATGGACACTGCCGCGCCTGTGCGAACCTGGCAAGGCTTCGGTTGGATCTGGGGCCAGCAAAACACTTGCGCCACCTCGGATTCCAGCTGCGATGTCCTGCAAGTGAGTGAGGCCACGAACGCATGCCAATCCAGAGGCCAACTGTTGCGTAAGTGTTGGCAAGCCAATCAAACTAGAACCCCCCTTGGGAACTGTTGAAAACAAGCGGCAACCACACATTTGGAGGGGTCCCTGGGTTTGACACAGAGCCACACACCCTTCAGAGCTAACTCTCCATCAGCCCACTGCAGGGGCAGTGTCCTCTTTGCTAAATCGATAATTTTACCTCCAGAGCCATCAAGATCCCGCTGTAGCCCCTGCGAAGGGTGAATGAAGCAGGGTTAAACTTGTGAGCAAACCGAGCGGAATGAGCAATGGCTTTGCTGCCTTCATGGCCAGCGTGAGCTTGTCAAACCTCGACAGTGTGCACGGCAGGCAAGAACCAAAAAAACGAACATTGCGCACAGTCATGCGGCATACACGATGCAGTTGTTACGGACGTCTTGCGCACTATGCAGAACAGCTCAAGCGAGGCTTGGGGCCAAGGGGCCAAATGTCAGCGTTGTGCCCTACTCGACTTGAAGATTTGGTGGTAATTTTACCCGGCAGCAACTAGGGGCCAACTATACTTGACTTGTCAAGCGTACACACGCATTGTGCGCTTTGCACCAGTCCGCCGGCATTTGGTGATGGGGTCCAGGGAAGATTCGAGCGTGCCATCCTTCCTCTCGCAGCCGAGGATAGTCTTTGTGAGTGGCGCGCGCGTTTCTCAGGTGAGCTGTGCCTGTGTCCCACACTCCACTTGTTGCATGTTACATTAGCATTTGCACAGCCCGAATGTCGGCCTGAGCTGGAGGCTTCAAGTAAACGGTGGCTTTTAGTTTGACTGTGGTCTTTAAGTCTGGTACTCACGTCGCAGCTCACGGGTGTGCATTTTGAACTCCGTCTCCAGCTGAGACCTTGGCAAGCGTTATTGGATTCTCTCTGGCATGGGATGACGCCATAGCGCTTCGCAGGTCCAATGGCCTTTTATCAGATTCAGAATAGCGCAGCGAGTCTGACATACCTCTAAGCTCTGCGCTTCGCATTCTGAAACTCAACATCTGCTCCGAAGATGGAGGACACCATCTCCGACATCTCCTCTTTGCCTGGCTTTTCCAGGAACACCTTCATCCAACATCACGTGACTTTGAGTACCTGCCTGGGTTGCGGCGGTTGAAAAAACGCATTGCTTCAGCTGCATCTCGTGGGAGGACGCCCTGCACACGCGCACACACACATTGCGGCTTAGTTCCCGTCTGCAACATGTACTGCTTTGATTCAGCTGACAACAGATTCGCTAGACCATGGGGTGCGGGAACAATTGCTGCAATGAGAACGCCAGGGACAGGTCCGCTACTTCGAACAACTATGTGCAATTGACCAACTGGCGGGCCAGCAATTCTGAGGACTAAGAATCACGGGGTACCGAACGACAACAACTCCGCTGGGAGCGGCATTGTATCTTCACAAGACTTCAGCGTGGAATCTCCGGAGCCCTGAGCCCCCCGCCTTGCGGCGGGTCTCCAATCCCAGAATCACCTCCCTTTTTAGGCGAAGTGCGAAGCCCATAAGCTTTCAGCTATACGGTCAAATGCCGGAAGTTCTTCTGAAAGGATTTGACTGCTCATAAGCCTCGATGAACTCGAAGAGCTTCCGGAAGTGTTCCAGCTCCGCCTACCATTGTGTGGCTTGAAAGTCAAGTGTCGAAGCAAGTCCTGTCTTCAAACAGTGGACTGACTGAAGGACAAGCATCGCAGCTTGAGTTCTTGAATTGGTCTGTCTTGCCGAGCCTGAACGTCCTTCCACGAACCACCAACGGTTCCACCTGCTGGAGGCCTTGAGTGAGCCATACAACGGCACGGCATGCCACGAGCTGAGCAAAGCTGGGGCAAGTGACTCGCTCTTTGATGAAGTCCATCCTTCGCGATTGGAAACCGTCCTCCGCTCCTTGGAGTGATCTCCAAACTACCAGGGGCGTTTTGACATGACGCCGCGGCAGTGCTCATGACGACCACTACCTCTCCAGCATCCTCTCCAAAAAAACAAAGGATGTGTTAGGAGCAGCAGTTGAGAAGGTCTACCCTAGATGTTACCCACTGCGGCCAAAAAGCTTCGCTATTTCTTCGAACCTGCGCCGCGGCCACAGGTGACTTAGCGCATGACGCTGGTCATGAGCTCTTGGCTTAAGTGGCAGGACAGCCAAACATGGCAAACTTTGAAAACCACAGAGTTGGCACTTGAGACAACAAATAAGACATAATTCAGTTCTTCTTAAAACGTCGATGCTCCCGTTTGGAGGGTGCTCTTGCACATGCCTTTCAAGAGTCATGCCTCACAGCCAGAACAATTTCTGCTTACCATGTTCGGGAGAAGAATGCAAACTTGCCAAAAGTAAGATCCACCAACAGCCACCGTCAGTGTTTGCCGAGTGTTGTTGCATGAGTATGCCTGCTTTGTAAAGCGACCGCATATAATATGCCTGGCAACAAAAAACATCCCATCGCAACCCTGGACAGCCTCTCGGGGCTCTTCCAATTTCTGCAGCCTACGCTCTGCGTTCCCTTGCAGCTCCTGACAATAGGCCGCATCCAAGCGCATGCTCTCGTTTCATGGATTGACTCCAGAAAGCTTTTCATGTCACATGCTGCTGAAGTCCTCCATTTCCTGGAGACGCGATGCCAGCTTGCTCAGTTCCTCGCTGGGCTCGTCCTGGCAAGACTGCTCGGAGATCTTCCCTTGGAACCTTTCTTGAGCACTGACAAATACATAGAGAACCAGACAGGACCAAACCCAGCAGACAGGGCCGGACAGGACATGTGCAGAGCCATTTGCTATGCCTGGGATGTAGAGTCTGCATTAGACGATTTGCGAAGCTGATGGGTGACTCGCGACTGGCTACCAACACAGTTTGGTACAGTTTCGATCAGTTTGGGGCCAACTCGTCGTTGGGGGGCACCGCAGTGCAATTACTGGACCTGACATCAATCTGTGTGTGTGTGTGTGAGCGCGTGTGTGTGTTTGTGCAAGTCCAGCTATGGACAGTCGGAAAAGTAAATCTAAGTTGTGATCAGAACATCGAAGCACTGGGAGGTTTGGGAGCACTTCTCCAGTCCTGTGGCTCTGGCGACGGGCTCTGGTCTCCTTTCTTTGGCTCATGGCTCTCGCCCTCGGCTCCTTGCACCGCTCTGGGTTCACTTTGACTACGGCATTCTTTGATTTCCGAGCTCAACTCCGCCATGGACTGCTGCAGTCTCAGGATTTGCTGTTCCAAGTGTGGCACTGCGCTCTTTAGTGCAGGCACCTCCTCAGTGACGTTTCTGCAGCATAGCTCTACCGCAATCAATCGATCCTTTGCTGTGCCAAACTCAGCCGTCAGATTTGCGGGCAGCAAAGTGCTTTGCGTCTCCAAAGTCTCGTCACACGACTCAATGGTCTCTTTGGTTGACGAAGGTTCCTCATGCTCGCTGGTCAGAAAGCTGGTGTCCGCAGGATCACCCGGTGTTGAGGATGGATTCGCTTCCCCGGAGCGCTTTCGCATCTGCAAGCTCCTGATCTTCTCCGAGAGATCGGCAAGCGACTGCTGAAGAGCTGCAATGGCCGACCTGTCTTGTTCTCTACCATCTGCCACCGCGGCCAAAGCTTGAGCTGCAGCTTTTGCAGCTGCTCCCTCTGCTTCTCTGCTGACTTCGCTGACTGCAGCTTTGGCTGCTTCTCTGGCTGCTTCGGACGCTGCTGCCAAAATCGCAGTGCCGTCCAAGCCTTCCAGTTTAGCATCCATGCCGCTGCCTACAACCCTGGCACCTTCCGCTTGGGCATCTGCCAGCCCATCAGCCCCGGTCCCGGCAGCCCCTGGCCCAGCAGATGGAGCAGGTGGGCTGCTGGGACCACTGGGACCGCTGGGGCCGCTGGGGCCGCTGGGAGCACTGGGACCACTTTGCGCTTCTGAAAGCTTGGCTTCTCCGACCGCTCCCGAAGCTCTCACGCTGGCAGCAGAGGCTTTAACCTGGGCAAGCGGACGCGCTATCACACGCAAACAATATCCAACATCGACCACTTGATGTCCCGGCTTGCATACATCGACCACCCGCATGCACACAAACAAACAAACATACGTAACAAACAACAAAACAACACAACAAACACAAACACACATACACAGCACACAAACACAAGCGCGGGCGCACCCGCACACACGCACGCAAGAACGCACGCAGGCACACAGGCCCGCAGGCACACAGGCCCACGCGCTTTGCCCGCACGCATGCACGCACAACAAACACTTACACACACGGACAAACAATCACACACTCATACATACATGCATACCATACCATACCATACCATACCACACCATAGCATACGATACAGCACCGTACACAAATTACACACATGATTAGATACATATATACATATACAAACATGTATACATCAATACATTAATTACATACATTACATTAAACTACATTACAATACAATGCAATGCATTACAGTACATTACGTTGCTTACATACATGCATGCATACATAAATACACACAGTTCATACGGACATGCATACATACATGCAGGCATACATCCATATACTACATTCATACATTACATTACATTACATTACATAACTCTACACTACATTATATTGCCTACATTATATTACATTGCATGAAATTACATTATATTACATTGCACACACGCATACGTACATACATACATACACGCATACATTCATACTCAGACATACATTCACACACACACATACCTACATGCACCTTACATACATCCATACATTGCATTGCATTGCATTACAGTTCATTACATTACATGTCATTACCTACATACATACATACATAAATGCAGACATACATTGCATTACATTATATTACAGTACAGTAGACTACAGTTCAGAAAAAATATTTCCTTACAAATATTGCATACATTACACATATTGCATACATTACATACATTACATTACATTACATTACATTACATTACATTACATTACATTACATTACATTACATTACATTACATTACATTACATTACATTACATTACATTACATTACATTACATTACATTACATTACATTACATTACGTTATATCACATCATGTTACATTACATTACATTACATACATATCATTACATACATAAATTACATACATTACATACAGTAAAAATATACATGCATACATACATACATACATACATACATTACATACATACATACATACATACATACATACATACATACATACATACATACATACATACATACATACATTACATACATACATACATACATACATACATACATTACATTACATTACATTACATTACATTACATTACATTACATTACATTACATTACATTACATTACATTACATTACATACATACATACATAAATACATAAATGCATACATACGTTAAGTTAGATTACATTACAGTACACTACAGTTCATGAAATTACATTACATCACATCACATCACATTACATACATACAGTCACGTTATATACATACGTACATACATACATACAGTACATTAAATTACATTACATTACATCACATCACATTACATTACATTACATACACACATAAGTCACGTTACAGACATACGTACATATATACATACATTACATACATACATAAATTACATTACATTTCATTACATTACATTACATTGCATTACACTACACTACACTACATTACATTACATTTCAATACATACACACATTGCATACATTGCATACATTGCATACATTGCATACATACATACATACATACATACATACATACATACATACATATATACATACATACATACATACATACATACATACATACATACATACATACATACATACATACATACATACATACATACATGCATACATACATAACATCACATCACATTACATACATATATATACATACATATGTACATATATACATACATACATACATACATACATACATACATACATACATACATACATACATACATACATACATTACATGCATACATACATACATACATACATACATACATTACATTACATTACATTACATTACATTACATTACATTACATTACATTACATTACATTACATTACATTACATTACATTACATTACATACATACATACATACATTACATTACATTACATACATACATACATACATTACATTACATACATACATACATACATACATACATACATACATTACATACATACATACATTACATTACATACATACATACATACATACATACATACATACATACATACATACATACATACATACATACATTACATTACATTACATTACATACATTACATTACATTACATTACATTACATACATTACATACATACATACATACATACATACATACATACATACATACATACATACATACATTACATACATACATACATACATACAATACATACATACATACATGCATACATACATACATACATGCATACATACATACGTACGTACATACATACCATACATTACATACATTACATACATTACATTACATTACATTACACTACAATAAATTACATTACATTACATTACATTACATGACATTACATTACATTACATTATACTACATTACACTACACAACATAACATACATAACATAACATAACATACATACATTTCCATACAGACACGCGTGCGTGCGTGCGTGCGTGCGTGCCTGCGCGTTCGGGCGTGCATGCATGGGTGCATGTGTGTGAGCGGGCATGTGTGCCTGCGTGCGTGCCTGCGTGGGTGTGTGTGTGAGCGCGCATTTGTGCATGCGTGTATGTGTAATATATATATATATAATATGTATATTATATATATATATATATATTGTGTGTAAGGTTGTTTGTGTGCGTGCATGTCAGTGCATGCGTGCATGTGTGCATCGATGCTTTACACGGAAGAAAAGAAGGACACGTACACACAAAAATACACATGCAAATGCTTGAAGCAGTTTGCCCCAAACTATTGACCTGCTCAAACCCAGTCTCCATTTTTGTGTGACAACTCACTCTCATATGTTCTCAGTCGTTGAGACGCAATTATCGCCGCTGACAAAGGCTGGCCATAAATTTATGGTAAGGAAAGGACTGGCCGAATCAGCAGTTCGTTTTGTGAGCTGGTGTCACATCAAGCTCTTCGAAGTCACTGTTCACCTTCCTTCTTTGCGAAGCTTCTCACAGCTTGTTGGGCACGTGTCGATGTCCTTTTTGCAAAAGGCCACAACTTGTGGAGCTGGAGCAGTACAAAACTTGGGCAAGCTCGGTCGCGTTTTCGCACAACGCTTTCTTTTTTTGGATTGCACCCTTACTTGTTTGGGAATTGAAGACCTGAGCCTTGCCCCATGTCCCGCAGTGGACACTGTGACCATGTCTAGCTTTCTTTGGGGGTGCAAGTGAACAAGAAATGTCAATCAAATTCATAGTTGTTGCTTGATCATGTTGATGGCAACCCGGGATCTAAGTGCCCGACATCCAGTTCGCGAACCTGCCTGGCGGACTGAACATGAGACTTCCAGAGCCACTTGGGTTGCGCTGCGCTGAGTGCATGAGGTCAACTCTGAAAGTCTGCCTCTCAACTGCTTCGATGCGGCTGTTGACGCGCGCATCGAGAGAAGCCAGCTCGGCCTGAGCATTGCCAATGCCGGATCCTTTACCTTGACAGCCAATTGCTGATGGCCCGTTCCTGAAAGTTAGCTGCATGTCGCAGCGCATCTGACCTTGCAATAGCTGCTGTCGCAACCACACATTGATTCGAATTGTGCCTGACAGCATTACAAGATCAAAGCATAAAGCCGCACACCCCACAGCGTCAGCCGCCACATCCTGTTCACTGCTGTCACAAGAACATGCTCGTTACTTGGCCAAAGCACAACACAAAAAGGTCTCTTGAATCTCACAGGCATGCGCACTCCTCCGTATCCTCCGCTCCTATGCTGGAGGCCGACGTTGGATTCGGCAGAGGAGGCAGGGCCTAAGGGTGCAGCTTACGCGTTGAATGCTTGAGCTTCTCTGAGACTCGGACTTCACCCAGGCCCGCAGCTGTGCTTGCTCCGAGACCAGCCTAGAGAATGCCGCGAGAATGCACACACGTGTATTGAATGCGGAATGGATGTGTCTCTCTTGTCGCTTCAATTGTTGTTGTTTTTTGAGGGAAGCCAAAAGGAACACCTTTTTGCGCCATTTCGGGGGTCCACCAAAGAAAGGGGGCCACCCCCGCAGAGCATCGCTTTGATGCTTTCTGCCCGCCATAGCCTGAGACACTGGCAGAAGGCCGCCTCTCGAAGTGGGACTCCAGCACCAAGAGCCTCGAGATCGAGTCCACGTTTGTGTGTAGAAAGTGGACCCCAAAATGACACGACGGTTTTCCTTTGGTTCCCCTCCAAACCACAAAAGGGGGTCCACGAAAAAAGGACACACCCAAACGGACTGGCCTGAGAAAGAAGAAAGAAAGAAAAAGCATGCTCTCTTCTGTTTTGTGGGCATCACCCAAAATGGCCTGGCAGACACATCGTCCCCGATGCGCCCAAGCTGGGTGCAGAGGTTGTCCTGGGCAAAACATGCGCCCCAAATTGGTCCAGCTTGTGGTTTACATGTTCCCACACACACACACACACGAAGCGGCCGAGTATGGCCGAATGCATCAGCACTTGAGGACTGCACAGTGACATCAGCAAGCTCTTTCTGCAAGTGCTCATGGGATTCTCGCTGCCGGTCGGACAGCGTGCTAGAGATGGTCTGCACCTTTCACTGCTCAGTGCCGAAGCTGAGCGAGTCGACGGCGCCCGGCCTCTACCATCAACCTCTCTCGTTGACGCTCCAAATCGCCCGGTCTCGGCAGTGAGCTGACCTGCGAACCCCCACTTGCTGGCACTTCAATTGTAGTATTACAAGCAAAACACGTCCTTGGACATGAAAATCAAGCTTGCTGTGGCCCGCAGCATGCCGGCCGGTATCAAAACCAGGTGTCCATGTCGTTACGCCACTTTGGCGGATCCAGCGTGCAACATCTTCACTCTTTCCAAGCGAAATACCCAGTCTCTGAAATTGAGAGGCCTAGGGCTATTGCACAATTCCATGACCCTAACCAATGTCTTTAAGTCCAGTTGACCCGTGACTCTCCGTGCAAGCTTTTGCTGGCCTCATGCTTGATTGCATTCATCTGCATGGTGATCATCTCCTCCTGTGAAGGGGAAATGGCACTCTGCACACGCGGAGACGACTTCAAGACTGGCACATGTCCTTGATGCTAAGTCTTCCATTGCCCTCTGTGGAGGGGGGCCTGACTGCAACATGCCTGATGAGATGTTGCCGCCAAGCAATGGGACCGTCTGCATTTCTGAAAAGCACGATAGAATACAACTTGTGGAGACTGATGCCCACCTGGTGTTCTTGACAATAGTGGGTATGCTGATGGTGCGCGCCCTAATTACCAACTTGAGGGCTGCTACACTTGAGGGCTGTGCGGTGACGTTGAAGCCGCACCGGCCTGACAATTCAGCCCCAAGATTCAGCCTGTACCTTGGGATACCTTAGGCATACTTTGAGCTTCAAGCAACCGTCAAGCCGAAACATGGCATCTCTTTGATTTCAGCAGCCCCTCCTGCAACTCATCCACCTGTCTGCTGATTGTGCCCAGGACGCGGTTCTGCTCCTATCCGAGAAACTCCATGCCAAACTACCATTACGCAATGCTCAGCATTGATTGACACCCAATGCAACCAAATAGATGATCAACCATCCACGATTGCCTTCCTCGAGCATCAGTCGACGACAAACAAACTGGGAGTCCATTGGACCAACTGTGCGCGGCTGCGCACGGCAGCCTTCACAGCCGCTGCCAACCAGGACAATCCGCTTGCAAGCTTCTCTGCCGAGATCTCCAAAGATCCCTTCACAAGCCTCGCAGTCTGTGTCATCCAACATGCCGCATGTTGCAATCTGAGACTAGAGCACTTCGGTCTCAAAGTTGAAAGGCGGAGCTGACAAGGCTGCCATGGAAAGACCTTCCATCAATCACGCCAATGGTTGTTCGGCTGGACTGCAGCTTGCTGGCTGCAGTGATGCACGTTCTGTTTCTGTGTTTTAATTGAATGCGCCAGCTTCAGCAGCTGAGACCCCTGCGAGAAGCTCTGCTCAGAAAGCGGAAGAGTGAGCGCTTGTACTACAAATAGGATTCAGTAGATTGATTGTTGTTGGCCTCCAAAACAGCGGGAAAAAAAGCGTGCAAGAGGCTTTCTAAGAGTTCTTCATGCCACTGAGAATGCTGGCCTTGAGCCCTCCAAGCATCTCAGCTCTCAAATTCTCAAGCATCAGCTCTGCTCTACGGCAACCATTGCGCCTCACGCAAAGTGCATTTCACGCGGAAACTGCATCTTTAACAAGTTGACCGTCGGAAGCGTCTGAAGTATACTTCCGCAGCGCTCCCGAGGCCAATTAGCTAACCTGACCAAAGCACCAGATGCGGCACTGGATCCTCAAATGTTCACGTGGACAGGAGTATCGTCTGTGAACCTGAGCAAATCGCAAGACATCGGCTGTCATGTGTGAACCAGGGGCCGTGCCAACTTGCTGCGTGCAATGTGGCGGCTGCCAAATACCTGTCGAAGGCAAGACATATTACATATGTTTATCGATAAGTATCCTGCGGGGAGAGCTAGATAACAACAAGCATCACAGTATGAAACGTTCCTTGATTCTCTGTTTGATTCGGCCACGCTGAATGCTGACGCATGAATGCTTGTCACCCTGAATCCGGCGTTCTCACCTTTTGCGTGTGTGTGTGTGTGTGTGTTTTCTTCCCAGATGCAAGGTAATATGCCAAGGGGTATCGTATCATCGAATCATCAAAGCATTCAATCCTCAACTCGTCAAATCATCAACAGCACTAACAACAGAAACCCACTCAAGATCATTGAAGTTCCATTGAAGGCCATACCCAACCAGGAGAACTGCAACGACAGGACTGATTCAGAGTATACACGCAGCACCCGCAGTCAAACCCAAACAACTGGGATGGTGCGCACGTAGCATTTCGGAAAGTGGGACAGTCACAAAGCCCTGCACAGTTTGAGGCGCTCGTTTCTTTTCAAGGTTGCTCTCCTGACGGACACGGAGATTCGATAGAGGCAACGTGAAATGATATTTGCTGCCCGTGACAGCAGAACAATCAACACCACAAGACTGCACGACTTCATACCACGTCCCAACGCGCAGCTCATGCTCACCTCGTCCGATATGATCCCAACATAATTCAAGCACGGCTGAGCGCAAAGAGGACGTTCAACTCACCATTCATTCCATTCCAGTCGAAGCCACGACTTCATGTCACGGGGGCACGCGCACAGCTGTCCAAGGCAGCTGAACTGGATCGCCTTGATGCCCAGCCTCAAGTTCGGCGAATGAGCATCGCATCGCACCAAATAACATTGAACCTGACAGGGGGGGGTCCTGGGAAAACGATTCTCCTTGAAAAGGGCATAGAATTGTTGAGATACTATCATTTTTCAACAACAAATCATGAGACATCATGCGAAATTGAAAAAGATCGCCTTCGACTAGGCCAAGGCCGTGGCCCCAATCCATTCACATCAGTCTCGCCTTCGAAGGCCTCGACACTGTACTCGCACTCGCTGACCCATCCCAGCCCCGGCTGACCCCCGCCTGGAGCCAGAAGTATGCTGCCAGGCTCTGCTGAACAACCATGACAAAGTGCCTGGTGTGCCAAACTTTGATAAAAATCCGTCCCTTAGCCTTAGCTCCGCAAACAGAAACCAAACGCTGAGCTGGGGGCGTGAATGCCAGGTGAAACTGGCCGTCCTTGGCATGGCCGGCATCGATTCGGTTGTCGGGCTACCGTCCCACATTGAACGCTAAACGCGTGCCCAAGCCCCGTGACTGCGATCATTATTGAGAACTAGTTGCCAAACTTCGTGTGATGCGGAAGAATGCAGCCCAAGTGCAACTGCTCTGGGCAGCTGCATTTGCAAATTTACGATCTCCCTTTCCACTCGCTCTTTGATGTGCTGCCAATGAAGATCTTCAATTCTCATGATGCACGCAAACTGGCGAAGTGCATACAGCCTCAAACGGTGCAAATTGTACGTCGGCCAGCTGCAATCAAGCTTCGTTGTCGAGCAGCATGGTGCGCCCAGCATAGATGATCTGCACAATCACGGAGCAGAATGATCACTTCACCAAACAAAGTGGATCGCGGGGCATGGTTCGCTCAGTCCAGGCATCTGCAAATGTCTTCAACTCATAGCTACAGTATGCTTACGTCCGGATCGCATCGACTCTGAGGACAGGCACTGCTGACAGAAACTCAAAGCAATGCACGGCCGTGAACAGGATGTTGGCTTCGCTTTCCTCAGCCTCCAGTCATCTAAGTGGCAGCTGAAGAGACGAGGTCTGATCGGAGGCCCGCGCAAACTGAAGAGTGTTGCGCTGCGCGAACATTCCGATCAAAACGACCACCTCGGGCCATACACGGTTCCGTGGCTTCTCTGCCGTTTGAGGCCGCAGCCAGCACCATGGTGCCAGCAGAGCGGAAGAGGGCTCGCTGCCCCAAGAGGAAAAGCAAAGGCACCAGCAGCGCCTGCGCTAAGGACAAATGACATGTCTTGATGCTCTTGCGGGCCAAAAGAGGCACCTCCAGCATGGTAGGGAGCATGCCCCCCACTGGTCCTTCAAGCCAGTAGGCCTGGACATGTGATTGTTCAACGTTTGATTGGCAATAACATGCCAATTTTTAAAGCGAGGCACCATGAAAATCGCTTGTTCCCGCCGAAAAGTGGATGGGACAATTAGTGATGTCCCCTGGGTGTTGTGTAAAATCAGTGAATTCCCATGCCCGTGCCAAATGAACCATAAACTACTGGCACATTTTGACTAAACCTCATGATGCAAAGTGCAGTCTCGCCTGGCTTCGGTTCAGTGACAAACACTTCGCCAACGCACCAGCGCACCAAAGCCTTGGCAATGCTCAAGAAGCTCAATATCTCGTTGGAAAACACGGTCAGGCGACCGTTTGAGAAAAACATGGCTTTGGGAACTGGGACAAAACCAATCAATCTAAACCAGTGCCATCTAATTCCAGCAAAACTGGAAAGGACACTTATGGTCACTACACACTCCACACTTACATTCGCTGTAAGGATTGTGCGCAGCGCACTCGTCAAGCAAAGGAGACTGTCCCGCGCCTCCTGGGCATTGCGCAAGGCCAAAACGGCGGCTCGTCTTTTTTTAGAGAATTTCAAATGGATGACTTTCCTTTTGGTTGTCCCTTAAAACCACAAACATGGGGTACCCTAGAAACACACACACACACACACAATTCAACACACACACACACGCACACGGTCAGTGCATGCTGTGGCTGGTGAATACAAACATGCATGCCAGCAAGAACTGTTCGTGCCTGATCGCAAAAGTGCAGACAGAACCACGACTAGTCTCAGCATTACCTGACAAAGCGCTAGCTTGCAGCATGCACGCCACCAAGCAAGTTGCAGCAGCTTGACTAAACCATGCTTGATTCAATGCTTGACATCTTCTCTGCTTGTGCTTGGCCTGAATGGCAAGCAGGGTGTCAGCTGTCATAAGCAATGGCCATTGCATCTTGATGGCTTCCCAAGCCTGCAGTAATAAGCAGTGAGCGCAGCGCTCGCGAAATCGCACCAAACCGGCCCTGGTTTCAAGACAGGCTCCGGTGCCTCTCGAGAATGGCCATCCAGAGAATCGCCGATCGTATCCCCACGAGATCGCAAGATGATGACCAGCACGAGGCACGTGAGAGAACCGATGGCCTGCAGATGCCCCACGGGCAGAGTCTCTATCATTTTTGGCGTCCAGTGCCTCTGGCGCGCATTCGCGCAGGAGTTTCTTGTATTTGTCAGCCGACCTTTCAAGAACAACATCGACAAGGAACATACAAAAGTGACAACGCTGATAGTCTGGGCGGCTGACGGCTGAAGTTCTCCTGGGCGTCCATTGACTGCTCGCCTGACCAGAATTCACAACGGTGCGAATCCATGTTCATTTTGGTTTGTCTCAAAATCGGGACTTCCCAACATTGTGGGTAGTCCTTTTGGTGTCCCTTTCAATCCGCAGAAAAAAGGGGGCACTCAAATGAAGCCACACCCAGCCGTTTGACACCTTCGCTTTCCTTGTCTGGCTGGCGCAAAGACATTCTGCTGGATACGGTGAAGCGGCTGTCGGGTCAAAGTATGTGAAATCAAAGGGTCATCTTCCGTGGTGAGGTTGGAATGAAGCTGCCAGATGTTCACCATCAGACATGAAGGACTAAAGTCTGGGGTCCAGTCACATTCTGAAACAAGAATCAGAGCTAAACGAGGTATGCGGAATGGTGAAGGAGACTGAGAAGGAGCGAGAGGGTGTTTCTGGCAAATCAAGGTGCAGAGGCCTGCAGGTTCCCCCCCCTCCCCCCGAAAGCCGTTGGGTGACCAGCTGGTCATATTGGGGGGATATCTGATCCACCGGTTCTTACCAGCTGGTGGCTCACTCTATAGCTATTTGGCGCTCTTGACCAGAGGGTCCTTCAAAGGGCCGCTGAGATCATCGCGGACCTGAAGAGTCCAACAAAGCAGCGCAGCTTCTCCAGCTGATGCGGGACTTAAGTGGCAGCCATGTCACTCTGGAAGACAAAACCAAAGGTGACGGACGTAGTAAAGGGGCTGCGAGAGAAATTGAAGGAGTTGCCGAAGCAGACGGGCATCACCGCTGACATGAATGCTCGCATCGACGGTTGCGTGGATGCTTGCAGGCAAAACATGGATGGTTGGATAAGGCATGGATGCAATGCATGCAAGGAATAAACAAAGGCAAGGCAGGAGAAAAGATGCAGCGCTTGCTACGTTCAGGCCCTTTATAATTTTCATGTCTCAAGCCCTGCTTTGGGCCATGCGCGTCGGTTTCTTCCGAATCGGAATGTGCCTGAAGAGCTCCAGTCGCAGCATCACCATGACCACGGCCAAGCACAGCGTGGCCTCCGATGTGGATTCCCCAGCTACACCTTTAAAATGAGAGAAATAATATAGGATGAGAACTGATGGCAACGAAAGTGAACGGCTTACAAAGAACCCTCCTGGTTGTGTTCTCAGATACCGTGCCGACCGATGCCATTCAGTCAAGTTGCCTCAATGGTCTTGCCATCGATATGAATGCCGCCAAGAACAAATCCGTTGAAGATGTCCATGACAGCCTGAACTGCCCGAAAGGTTCCAAAACACAAGAGCACAAGTGGTGAGGTAAGTGTGCAAGCGCTGCCTGCTTCAGTAAGACGTAGTATAGCTGCGTGAATGCGTTCCCAAATAGAAAAGCTGGCTTGGGCCAAGCTGTTAGGAACATGGACAGCTCAACGCACGGGTCAGACGTTTTACCTGGCTTGTCCAAATAAATCGCTGCCTGCACGAGTGTGGCATGCACAAGGCTTTGCTTTAGTATGGATCTCATCATGCCTCACAACTTGCCCAAAAGCCTGGGCAGCAACCGTTTTTGCAGCCGATGGACGTTTTGCCAAGTTCTTTGACTTGAATCCCTGCCAAGTACCTTGCAGCCTCTCCACATTGGCCAGGTCTTGCCCTCGAACTTCTTCCGGGGATGGCTTTTGCCACAGACCATGTCCAGCGCACGAAGCCCTCAACCTTGTTGCCTCAGCATCCTCAGCTTGGTTCGATCTTCCTTCCAACCAAAATGGCCTCAGTGCCGAGTGGCAGGCCAGGTCTCGTTTTCATGAAAAAAAAAGTGCAGCCATCCATGCCAAGTCACGAAGGAGCGTTGGATCTTCGCCGAATCCTGCCGCATCTACAAGGAAAGGACAAGGACAACTAATGCTTAGCACGCTTTCTCAAGGAGCTGCACCGCAAGTCAGCTGTTTTTGACTTATGACTGTCATTTCTGGCCCATCTTGCACGGCAAGGTGTAAGTTGCTTTTTCTCTGGACCGCATCTGAGTCGTGGCCACGTGCAACCTCTCTGGCTGCCGCTCACTAATCTTGTGTCGGGAAGATGGGCACTGTGTCGTCTGTGCCCGAGACCACCATGTTTGAAGACTGAGCAGGCCATGCATGGGGTTGGCTCTAAACAGGGGCACCTCTCAAAAATGGCAGTGTTCTTTCGGCTTCCCTTTAAGCCAAGCCAAAAAAAAGGCAGCCTCAAAACTTGCACCCGCACGCAGATCCAAGAGAAGCCAGGCCTTGGGCTTGGGGTCCATGGTGTGCTGCACTCTGTGCCTATCGGGCTTGATCAATACGCCGTCCGGCCCCCCAAATTAAAACGGGCTACCCAGAATTAAGGCGGCCGAAGCTATTTTCGGTTGGGATTGTCCCTAACCTTCATCTACCGGAGTTTTCACGGTGGCTCAAAAGAAATGGACCATGGGAAACTTTGCCTGTGGAGCAGTCATCTTTTGCGGGGATTGTCTATCGAGCATCCCATGTATTGCAGACCTTGTGATCAACCCCCGAATACACCGTGGCCACCAACGAATATGCTCGGCTGGGGGTCTGGCTGTCTTGCAGCAGGAGACTTTGGCCGAACTGCTCCACGCACGTTCTGACACAGCGGTGTAAGCAAGACATGGCAAACAAAAACCAAGAAGTATTCTAGAAGACAAAGAGAGAGAGAGAGAGAGAAGGAGAGATTGAGTTTCGCAATTTGGGCAGTTTCGATTGTCCTTGAAAGAGAAACTCCGTCATGGAGAACGGGCCATACCATGTCTATGGAAATGTAACTGGCTTTGTCATAGTACTACAGTACAATTTGCCTTGAAAACAAAACAAAAACACACCTTCTGTGAGTCCTTCCACAACAGGATCTCTACACAATGTATGGATTTGCTACATAGCCAAAGTGTGGCGCCTGGTGCTCAATGTACTCCCTCCAGCCGGTCTTGTTCGGAGTCACTGGGCAAAAAGGATTGGATGTCTTGTGCAACGGAGTCACCTGGGCGAAGCCGCAAAACACTGCGCAAAACGAGTCGCTAAGACAAAAAGAAGCTGACAGGATTGAGGAGCTGACTCGGGGAAGGCACGTGGTCCATGCGAAGAACTTCGTCCTGTGCAGCCCGTTGATTTTTTAAGGTTCGATGGCAGATGCTGGCCTGGTGTGCGAGTATGGCGTCGCGGCGGCGTCATCTCTGGAGAGACGCTGCACAAAGCCATTGCTTCTTTTGTCATACACGTCCTGCAAGGACTGCAAACAAGCGCTGAAACCGTGAGCCACCAGCCTGGACGGATCTAGTATGGCGCTGATTGGACATGACGGCATTGCGTGCCTCACAACTTCGCGCAAGGACTGAGCAAGTGCAGCGAGCAAAACCATAGCCTTGGGACCCATGTAGAACTGATAGTGCCAGTCAATTGCTCGCCACTTGAAATCCTCCAGGGGAACTGTTTCGGCAATCACAGAGTATGAGATGAGACATTGTTTGCTGTGCCTCGATCCACGGAGACATGCCCATACCTGGCTGTTTCATGCCTTGCAAAATCTTGCAAAGCTCGGCCTTGCACCATCCGTCAAGATGGGAGGGCACGTTCCATATGTACCTTGTGCTTGATGCGATCACCCTCTCTCCGAAATCGGAAAGCCATGGCGCCAGCGTCACAACTGGAAGCTGCTATGGAGCGATGACCTTCATGGGGCCCCTATGCTGAGTCTGCAAAGGAGCACGGGGGGGGGGGGGGGAATTCTGCCGGTTTGAAAGCATCTGCCTTTGCGGTGATGCGCGTTCAACAGAAAGATTGGAATCGGCTGCGGCAGGGCTCATGCCAAACTGAGTGAAACATGGCCGATGCAAAACAGCCGCCTGGTCCCGTCTGACACTGATCAGCTCTGGTACGGCAACATCAAAGCCAATCATAGCGAGCTCCTCCTGATGGGTTTGCAGTTGCATGTGCGGAAGTGGATTCATGGCTGAGTCCTCAATGTCACCGGGATGGACTGGATTCGCCTGGCAAAGGCAACCACCTATGCAACACAATAATTGTGTTCAACTGCGTGTAGCTTGGCATGACAAAGCAAAGATCAACAGGAACTCATTGGTGAGACGACTTCTCTTAACAATCATCACGCATAATGATGCAACTGTTCTGAGTGCGGGACACTGGGAAAGACCAAATCCAGCACGGATTCAAATTCTGTGCCTCACATGAAACGCCATGTTCGGCTTCCCCGGACTTGTGTAACAAAATCAGCAGACAACTTTGAACCTGGAACATCTTTACGCTGTAATTCACCTGCTGGCCTTTTATTGTGCGCCCTATTGGTGTCGAAGTTCTTGTTGAAATCTCTATGATGACTTAACGCCTCAATTTAGAAAAGCGATCTTGTGGCAATTCCATCTCCTCGCTCATGAATTCAAGTCACCTTTAGCAACAGAAAAGTAAGACAAACCCCCAATGTAGTCTCAGGAGCCCTCATTCACGGCTTGATGATTGCTTGCTCTTGTTTGCCCTTGACTAGGATTGTTCATATAATACCCCAGGTGTCATTCCATTTGATCCCATTGCTGCTGTGGACATCTGCACAAAGAGGAAGCATGACAAGACCAAGGCAATAAACATCACGGCATGAGCGCGGCAAATAAGCACACCAGTCAAACAAGTTTGCGACTACAGCTGCCTCTGCAAACAGCAAGAATGCAAAAACAAGTAAACACAGGCAAGAGCAAGCAACACACAAATGCAGAGCAAGAACAAAGCAGCAACAAAGCAACATAACGACCCAGGTGCGTTATTGTTTGTTCTGATCCGTTTGATGCGTTTACAGAGGCTTGCCGAGTACGCTTTGGTAGCTGAAGTTCGAGTACCGCAACTGTTCAGTAGACGTGTACAGAGGTATGCGGGAAAGGTGTTGACAGCTTCAGCTTGAAAGTGGCAGCTTTTCAGCACAGGTGTAGTATGCAAAGTACACTTTGGAGTAGCAACTTTGCACAAGTCTAACTCTCCAAACACGGCTTGGCAGATCGAGCGAAGTAGCAACGGTTCGGTACAAGCGTGGTACTCGAAGAATGCGTTGGAAGCTCAAGCTCGGAAGTCGGCAACTTTGGAGTCTAGTCTGCCAAGTACTGTGCACTTCGGCAGCTCCAGCTAAAAAAACGGTTTACAAAGCCAAGGTTCAGGACCAAGTCTTTTCCTTTTCGCTTTCGGAAGTTCTCATGGGTTGCCGCTTGTCATCCGGAACTGAGCCAGGCGTTGAGCGTTGTTGCAGCCTGGCTGAACCATTTTCCACGTTGACAGCGCAATTACTAGCCAACTGCCTTTTCTCACCACCAGGCAGCTTCTACAAAGCGACATTGCCGTTTGCCCTTACTTATCAGTGTCCGTAAAATTCGGCCCATCTGCGGGACCGAGCCTGTCTTGAAACGCAACAGCACGTGGGTGATGCTCAGGATTGGACCCAAACCGGTCTTTCCAACCATTACTGCAACCACCACGAGCCTCACGGGCCGCGAGTTGCAATAGACCCATTCGCTACAAGCTAACTGCCGCACCCTCCAGGGGACAGGAAGTCCATTATGTGCGAGAAAAGAAGCTTCCTCACCTGCCGGGCTGGAAAATAAGGGCTGTGGCTTCAACTTGTCTGCCTCTGACGAGTACGGCTCCAGCACATTGCAAAGGACCACAGCATCGGGACCTCAAATGAGTGCACCCCGCCAGAAGCACAGCCTGCGTTTCCTCAGGCCGTGTCTGTCCACGGGATAAAACTCCAGGATGTTGTCTACCAAAGCTGTGTCCATGCGGCTTGACCTAACTGGTTCACAGCTTGTGGACTATGCTGCCTCAAACCCACTGTGCCAAGTAAGTCTTGGACGAGCATGCTTTCTTTACCATGGCTGAGCACATATCTACCTTGGCATAGATTACTTCGAATCGATCAAGCTTCAAGGAACAATGCTCCATCGCTCAATGCCCTCGACTCAAAGGGAGGGCACCAGCTTGGCCGAGGCACGAACGCCTACGATATCCGGCCGTGCCGCCTGAGGGAACCGTTCACTGGATTGCCACCCTGGCACAGGCCGGGCCTCCCGCGCAAGTAGCCCCGTGCCACAGCCAAGCTCCACAACATAGCGGCCTCAGGCGAAGGTCAGACCGCTGTGTAAGACGTGCTTAACCCTTCAAACAGCTCACACGGCTTCCTTGACACGCCCCAGGCTGCGAATGGCGTATGTTTATTGTCTCAGTCTCATTAGGCGCCTGCTTAAGTACTAGTACTTCAAGCCCGGCAAAAGCGAGCTAGTTTGGACGGCGCGAAGAATGGAAGTCGAGTTCTCGCTCGCTTGTGTGAACGTGGGCATCACAACCTTCACAACAGCCAAAAACAATTCATGTCACCATGTCTGCTACTGTTGAGCATCCTGAAACTGAACCCGGGTTTCACATATCTGAGCTCGTCGCTCGATTGCACCACTGAAGCCACGTGCCGCAGCACCTGCAAGAAGGCAATGAGCTTTTCAGAGCTGGGGCTGAGGTTCGCCTCGAGGCGTCCAGAAGATTCCGTGACCTTGGCAAGTGCTAGGCGAGTGTTCGTCCAAAATATTGCCCACATCTTCCACCTTGAACCGTTGCAGACATGGTGCGCGGTCAAACTCATCTGGATCGACGCCTGAGGTTGGGTGATGCAGCAACGCAACATGTGCGGTGCGTGCACTCCTTGTGCTTGCTACAGAGGACAAATGGAATCTCGAACGGGAAAAACATATTTGACCAATCATAGCACTAGAATAGCACTAGATGGGTCGGGTGCGCTGCATCCTGCAGGCCGTACTATGATATGCAGAGTAATTGCTTTACCCAACTCTGCCTGTGGATGACTGCGCTGCTGGCTCACAAGTGAAAGCAAACATCCCTAGCCGCTCCTTGAAAGCGTGTCTGATGCATTGATCCAGGAGTCACAGCAAGTTTAAGCATCCAGCGATTCCACCAAGCGTGCAAGGTGTCGGAGACACCAAGCGCAGAAGGAGCCTGTCAAGGATCGTCACCGGGAACGTCGGTCAACAAACAAACCAATGCAACCCCTCCCCAAGACATCAGTCCAATGCACCATTGCCTCCATCAAAGGCTGCTGCCACTCAAGTGCACTTGCATGTCTGCCCAGCACTAATGTCAATCAATCTACTTGCTTTGTCAAAGACAATCATAGCCGGGTCAGTGAATACAAAAGTTAGGAATGATACACCGTAATTCTTCAACTGCACTGCTGTCCATAAAATTGCATGAGCTTAAGCCCACAGCGCAAGAATCGAAGCAAGTACCGGCTGTGTCTGCGCGTATGCATGCACAAACACAAACACACACGCAAACACAAACACAAACGCAAACACAAACACAAACGCAAACACAAACACACGCACAGAGGCGCAGACACACACACACACATACACACACACACACAAACACTCACACTTCCACTCACACTCACACTCACACTCACACCCACAGACATGACAGTTGGCTCTTCTTTGAGTGAACAAAGTTGAGCAACACGCTTTGCGACCAATTGTCGGGGCATATTTGGGCCTGGCGATGACGCGCAGCTTGGTGTGCAGTATGCGTTGGGCATTCTGGCTTGTGAACCATGTTGATGCTTCAAACTCGATTTCGCCGGTCAGGCACACATGTGTCGCTGTGCTCAAGGCAGAGCGAAGGGACAAACACAATTGAGCCAGGAGCGCTCTGTGGCGCTATTCTATGAAGAGATGAAAGCAGACAAAAAAATACCGAGATAGAAAGGACCGACGCTAGACTACACTACACTGCACGACACAGCACTACGTACCCCCTCAAAAAGTTGAGAAGGCGCTGCCCTGGGAAAACCCACGCGCTAAAAGATGACACGCCTCTCATTGATGGGTTGCACCCTGGGGAAGGCTCTCGTCACCCACCTCCATTGGCATCTTTGGCCGCAACTCTTGGAGATTGCCAGCGAGGCTTGCTTCTTCATTGGCTGCACGCATTGGACCACGGTTTTCACCACACCTTGAAAGCGTGTGCTTGACACCGCCATTCTGCGTGCGAGTGTGTGGGCGTGTGCGCGAGGCAGACACTAAACATTCAAATGGGCTCTGGCCGACGGCCCGAATATTTTGCAAGAAGCGCTGGCGAGTGATGACACCAGAATGCCAACCTTCACGTCTTCTGCCCACGTGTCGTCCGTTGAATTCTGAGCGCCACGAGACAGGTCATTTTGCAAGCGCACTCGACGAGAAGCGCATGTTTGGCCGGCCCAGCTTTTGAGAGCCCAGCTGTGCAAGGTTGCCAGTGCGGCAAGAACATATGTACATTACATCAGGGCGGCAAATGGAAAATCCGCCGCTGGGACCGTTGGGGCGTGCTGCGATGTTGCATGCGCCACCCCTGTTTCCGTTTCAATAAGCCAAGCGATTTGCATGCAGCATTTGCTGCACAACCAGGCCAATGCAGTCATCGCTTGCTCATTGGTCCTGCTCCTCAGAGACGACGTCAATCACCTCGTCATCCTGAAGACTGCAGCATGACCAAAGAGATCCAACCCACTAACAAAACATCAGCGCAGCGCAGTCTGCTGAGTGGAGCTCTTTTCCAACATGCAATTGCTTGATGCCTCCACCATGGCAGAGGCCATCAGGCATCTCATTGTGAGATCATACGATAAACCAGCTAACATGGTCAGCCAGGTGCATTAACATGTTGGTGGCGCCGAAACCGAAATCGCCGAAGGGGTCGCCGAAGGGGTGCCCTTCAGTCTAGCACAATGCTGATGTGACGGTCCCACTAGTGAGCCCACCGCAGGGAAGCCGTTGAGCCGGATTGACCTGGTTGGTGGGCTCACTAGTGACCCCTATGCGCTCCGAAATCTTAGAGAAAATGCTCGTTGCGGGTGCGTTTTTGGCAAGTTCCAGTTGTGTAGTTGTGTGGGTCGTTTTCGGCGCCGTTGGCATTAACATGCAGGCTACTGCCCAATGCTTTGCAGAGAGTCAATCTCAACACATGTGTATTTGACGGCACAAAAATCGACAAGGTTTGTTTCGTCACGCGTGTGCCAGGGAACTCTTTCTGGACGGCCTGCCGGAAGCACATCAGAGGCGTTGCAAAATCAGAGGTCTGAGCTGTGTATGTCAACCTTCCAAGTGCCACCCCAACCGTGGCATCCATGTTCGTGAAAAACGCCTCTTCCATTCAAGTGGCTATGCCAATGGTACCATTTGGGGTGGGTGCACCACTCATTTTGGTCTATTTTAGTGGGGATTGGGATGTTCACTGGGGGTACGGTTTTGATTGCCCATTCCCAATGAGATAGCCGATGTTAGCAATACTGTGCGGGTCTCAGCTTCAAAGGGGCAGCAGGGGTCGAATCATAGACTGAGTGTGCTGCCAATCAAATAGGTGCTCCATTGCTTGGCGTCTTGCTACGCTTGTGACAAAGTACAGCCCTGGCCTCTACCATTCAAAGGTCACAGACATTCAAGTTTCGACTTGCCTGCGAACTAGAGCTGTCTGATTGGAACCATTTTGCTGGACTCATTTCAGCCAAACCCCCAGGAAAAGCGGAAAACCATACTCATCATAAGAAATCATACAATCATACCTTTGAGGTCCCTTGACTTCAGAACTGGTGAACTGGCTGTTTCTTGACGCTCACGTAACTACATCGCATTTGTCATGTTTCCTCACAAAAGTCTCGTCAAGTGCGGTCAGGCTCTGCCTTTCTTGCCAATCATCTGCCAAGCGATCCTGATCTGTGTTCGCGCGTGCGCAAAACCGGCAAATAGTGTCGTTTACGTCTGCTTGCACGGATCATTCATGTTCAAAGCACAAGTGCAGCTGCCGGGTGGCGGTAGCAATCTCCAGGAGGGCCACCCCCTCAGTCGGTTCGTGCGCAACTTGCATACAACCAGTATCAGCTTTCGAACGGTATCCATGTCCGGCTTGTTTGCTGCGAATCGCCGGGGTGAACAACGAATGACCAAATTGTATCATATGCCAAGAGGTTCTGACCACTCCATTGCATCAAAAATAATGAGCACGGAATCAAGGCGTGAAGCCAGGCCTGGTTTCTTGGCATGCTTGGCTGTTGACTCGCCAATGCCAGTGCTTCCGCTGGTTGGAACATTTGCGACTCCTGAACATGATGCACGAACCCCTATGCCGAGAGCTGCTCAATCAGAAACACACTGACAGGCCGACTTGCAAAACCTGCCGGCTTTCTGAGCTCCTCGTCAGCATCATTCCCTCGAATGTTTTCCACACCTGAGGAAGAAATACACCCGCATGACTGTGTGCCATCTGGCCCCTTTCAGTGAAGGCACAGCTAAGATCCGTCTCAGTCAGGTGCCTCAACTTTACATCATGCCAGCCATGTGTTGAGACACACACACACACACATACAAAAATATTTCGACAATTCGAACTCAGTGCATTCAGCTAAGGCACAAGGATTGCCGCGAGCTCGAGCTGCTACGGAGTGCGAGGCTTGTTTGCGCACGTACAAAGCTTCCTGTCAAGCTGGCAGCCAGCGCCGGAAACAGAAGTGCTTTGGCCAGGCCTCGGTAGATTGTGCCTTTCCTCAGCGTGAATGCCAAGTAGATCAGCATGCCTGGGAAAGATGCTCAGTGATGTGAGGGCATAAGTTTCTGCCATGTCCATCATGTCATGTTGGTGCGTGCATGATGGACTCTCCGCAAAGCAAGATGCGCACGAAGAGAATGAGGAAGGTAACGAAGAAGCAGCCACGATAGCCGAAGGCAACGACCACATGACCGCCGACAAAGGCAATTCCACCTTGGTTGGCCTTGTTGAGAGCATCCCAGGTCCTTGGTGGGGTTCCCTTCATGGTTGAAACTTCCTGATGGATGACCATCCATCAGGAAACGGGGGAAAACAAAAAGTAAAGGAACAGTTTGTTGTCTTTTGATCACACATGCCTGGCGGGTCAGCTAAGGTCAGCTCATGTAGTTTGCGATCTCTTCTCTCGGGAGGAAGTTGATCAGTTGCGCTCGATTGAATGCGCGAGTGCAGGAATTCAGTGATTGCATAAGGACAATACAGGGAATGACCACAAAAAGTGGCATTCCTGGTATGCAAATAGTTCCCAAGAAGAGCAAGGCCAGCGCCCACAGAAAAACCTGAGCATGGGTATAAAATGGAATGCAGGAAGTCTTTGGCTGAGGCGTCGCTCGTGCAAATGAGTTGCAACGCCCAGCTTCGCCCGATAGCCTTCGGATTTGAGTCGAACCTTGGAACATTTTGCCGCCCTGCTACCAATCATTCCTTGCACGTGGTGAGGTGGAATTTCAGTGACTGACTGTATCATGCAGTGATTTGCTGACTTGCTTCACTAAATATCTAAAACATGCGCGCAAACACGCACGCATCTCATAGAGCATAGTATAATCCTTTCTCCGTACACAATTGTGCCCAAGGAGTATCCCTCCCAAAAGATTCGGCAAGAAATTAATCATGCGGAACTTCCCCAGGAACCAAAAAGCCCCGGAACCGCTGCGGAAGGCCGGAACTTCTCTGTGCGTGTCAATGCAACAGTGTTGCTTGTTGCGGCCTAGGGAAAGGGACTACCACGGCACACCCACGGTACGTACACAACACCATGTCGTTGCAAATCACAGAAACAGGTAAACAACAATGACGCCAGCATAGACACCAGATGGGGCAAAACAAGTCGAGGATTGCACCCTCGGAGCCCTAAGTCGGGCGGGCCGAAGGACCCCGAGGCGGTCCCAAGGTGGCCTTGCAACCCAAGCCATTCAGCACCTACAGCGCCCCAAAACAGCACCTGCACAAGCACCCCAAACTGCATGCCTCCTAGCACCCAGCCCAATCTCGCAAGTCACGTTCCCCTCTTTATTAGAAGTTAGAACCCCTATAGCTTTCAGCTATCTGGGGCAAAAGAACAATACACTCTCAAACTGCCCCAACTCATGATGTTTCAGGATCTTGTTCGACCTTTCACGGCCTATGTTCACAGCCATACATCAGCTGATACAGACACATCCTGCATTTGAGGCGTCTTGATTCCAAGCTGCCAAAAGCTTCTTGGCCACGGGTGTAAGCAATGCTCCCATGATATTCTGTAGGAAGGCAACCCCAAACACACCTGCAGGCACAAAGCCCGGCTTGATGTGGCTTGCAACGCACCAAAGGCTTGAGCATGTGTCCCACCTGCAGGGGAAACGCCGTAATCAACCTGCGCGAGAGATAACTCAAAACCCTCATGTCTGGTTCCGTTCAATCCATCATGCTAACGATGTGGAACTACTGAATGAACGCGTTTGTGGTTTGTGATTTACCCTTGCCTGGCAACGTATTTGTTTGGCCCTTGCGTGGAGCCCGGACGACTGACATGCTGACATGGAATGGAACTACTGAGCCATCATCCAAGGGCCCTGTCACGAGCAAACGGCAGCAACTGCTGTTTGACTCAGCTCATTCATAGTTGACACGGTGTCCAACAATTGCAGCATGCAAACATGAGTAATGACCACTCATTCGAGTGACACGCTGCCTTATCAAAGCTTACCAAGCTCCTCGGATCAACCCCAACCAAAGCTGTGTGAAAGGCAAAATACACACATGTTTGGCATGTGTTGCCGAACAAGTCTGGACTCGCAGCAACATGCAACTCTGGAAACAGCCAGACTTTGCAGCGACTATGAATCAGCCTCTAGTGAAACGAACCGCCTGCCCTCTGTATATTCTGCCAGCATGCTCTGCTGACCCAGGGACTTAGAAATCAGCAAGAACCCTAGCGCCTTCAGAAACAGGTCAATGAACTTCAAGGAGAATCCGGCACCCAAGGCATTCAGCACATCACAAACAACCTCAGCTGCGCTAGATCTGCGGCTGTGCCTATGTGGCTGTGGGTCAAAACAAATGGTACCATTTTGGGGTAGGTGCACCACCCGTTTTAGTCTATTTTAGTGGGGATTGGGATGTTCACTGGGGGTACGGACTTTTGACCCATGGCCATCTGATTTTCAACCACCTCCATCTCAATCAAACGAGGCCCCACTGCTCATGCGAGCGCGAACCATGCCAAGGTTCGATCACCTTGGCGCCAAATAAATTCGGCGGGCGGATTTTCTCCGATGCTGTGGGAGTCTGGGTGAGGATGTCGGTGGCCGTCTTCCCCTTCCTTGCCATCAGGCGCCATAAGCGCGTCTTCTCAAGATGCCGATGCGTACACCAAGCAGCTAGACTATATTTGACTAGCTGTGAGCGTTTGTGTTCCTCTTACACACAGTTGTTCCTTCACGTCTTACGTCTCCATTTGCGGTGAGGCATCGTGTGACAGCTGCCTTGGATCTCACGTCAAGGCGCCCGGTGTACGAGGCGCCATTCAGAGACATGGAGTCTAAACCATCCCAACCTGGCCTTTCAAGTTCATAAGAGTGGGGGCTCTCGGATTTATGCAGTCATTTGCGAGTACCACAGGTTTAAATCCACATGCTTTGTTTGGGATTTATGCTCATGCAGGTCTCAGTAA